TCACTGATAGGCGGATAAGGACTTCATTCGGTCCTGGAACGGGTCGCGGTTCATCCCGCACCGCAAATGTAGGCTTCCCATCTGAGCCTTGAGGCGACTACGAATCGTAAGTCTCTGCAGAGTTCGATGGTGTGAAGACAAGACGATTGGAACAGTCTGAATGGTGCATGTGAGGTAGCTTACAGTCAAGACAGCAGCTCGGTGTGTCTCCATAATAGTGCTTCGTCGAATAAGATAAGAATAAGGTAAGTATACACAAGGCTGTACTTTAAAGAATGGCGTGTTAAGTTGAAGTTGAGACCAACCAAACTAGTGCTGCTCGAGGAAGATCTATGATGTAGGTCGAGATTTCCCCGCTACCTCCAGGAGGGTGTGTAGTGGCATAGGAGTTCAGACGGGTCGGAAACACTTTTCCGCATATCGCCGGTTCTAAGGTTCCCCTCATTCGAAATCTGACCTCGGTGTTATTCAACCATGATGATAACTGACTATTTCAGGTATCTGTGGCCCGGTGGATTGGGAGTATCGAGCGACGTCATCGTACTTCGATGCATGTATCTTTGCGGAATCAGAAAAGAAGAGCATTGACTTCAGCCGAAATTCTGCCAAAGGTCTCCACCGGAGTCAGTTTTTGGTTGTATGACTACATGAATGGAACAGTCAGTATTAATATTACTTGAGCATGCCTTTAGTCTATCATAGCCGCCCTTGTTCCTGGGCCTCTTTTGTTCAAGACTCGTATGACAGGCAACGCACTTGATGAGCGATTACCCTGGGAGCCTCGTAAAGGTGCATGCTTGGATACTTATCCCTAGTTGCGACTTTGCCGCAGAGTCCTGATACGCTCCCCCAAAGCAAGTTCATCCGCTTGTATTCGTTGCAACTGCTCCAACGTCTGCCTTCTGTCCCTCAAGAGCCGCTCTTCATGTAGCAGGCGCTCCAGCTCAGCCATGTCTGTGATCGGGGGGTCTGGCGAGGAATTGATACGATCTCCAAATACGGGCGGTGGCATCCGACTTGTTGCAGATGGTAGGGGCGACTTTGGGAGCGAAATCGTGGACACGACCTCCGGTGATACCGTGCCCTGCTCAACTGGAGGCGTGACCTCAAGCCTTTCGTGAATATTTGGCTCAGGCGATGTGCACGGAGTTCCGTCCAGCTCGGCCATTATCTGATTTTGTTGATTTGAAAATATTGCAAGGCTTTTCTTGTCGGCTTCCAATGGTGCCGTGTATGAATCTAATTCAAATCTGTTGGATTTGTCCCCGCCGCCGAGCTCTGGTGTGATGTTATCCTCATTACCATCACTCTGACTGGCCTTATTCCTCTTTCGCCACCAAATGAGTAGGATTACAGCCAGCATTGCCACGAGGGCAGCTCCAGCACCAATGCCAGCTTTCTCTCCCGTCGATAACCGATCCGAGGAGGGGTCCCTATTGTCACCATCAATCGTAGACGTAGATTCGGCGGTAGGAGTAGATTCGGGTGTAGAGGTTGTTGATTGCGCCGTTGATGTGATGGCTTGTGATGCGGTCGAGCCAGACTCTGTCCATGATGTGGATGTCTCGATACTCACGGTTGTATACGTGCCACCGACATCGTAAGTGGCGGATTGAGTAATGGTGATGATACTGGGTTGTGTTTCTGTCAAGGTCGCTGTAGAAATCACATCCGTCTGGAAAGTATTGAGCCAGCCATTGGCGACGCAGTAGGCCGCAAAGGGGGGCCACACATCTTGAACTTAGCGTCAATACAGCGCTTCAGAGTCGAAGATAGTGAAAGACAGAGAAGCTTTCTCATTGTGAGATCAAGAGAAGCATACCTTGGATTGTTTTTTCTTGGTACCTGCAAAATCTTTTTATGCAAGCGGCCCATTGGGCACGAAAGAGATCGCTCGTTCCAAGACGGCAAGCACAATCAGGTTTCCTCAATATGTGACAGTTTTCCGTAGGGCTTTCACCCAGACAATCCTGAGCACATGCAGGAATATCGTCTATCTCTTGAGCGTATGCGAAGCGAATTACTGCCGCGAGGACAACTGCCGTGGCCCTCATCGCGACCGAGCAGCGAGAGCCTGCTCGGGGTGTAGATAGAACGCACAGAAAACAATGGCGAAGCTGACAGCTAAACTGAAGAGTTGTTGTTGGAGAAATGGTGTCTGGGAAACCCAATGGGTCCTACTCTCGGTGGTCCATGTATGTGCCTCAATGACAGCCAAGCGTGGCCTGCGGCAGGAAAGCGTTACTAGAAAAGACAAGACAGCCGACGGGCCAAGAAGAATGCTCGAATCTGCAAGGTTCTCGACGGATCATGAGAAGTTTCTGCCAGGTGTGATCGGGCCCCCGTTTAGCTTGTTGGTTGGGTCTAATTTGGGGCCTCGCCTGTCTGGACTCCGATCCCAATGGTTCCAACAGCTCGTTGTCCGGCTACTCACATATACTGCGAAGCAAGGACCCATTATTACAGGGAGAAGATCGAATCACTACGTTCAACGTTGTCTGGTGCCAAGTCCAGCTTCTAGCTGCGCCCTAGTTGTGCAGAGCCCAGCGTCCTCGCCTGCGTTGGTTATGAAATTGCGCTGGGCGGAGCAGATGAAGTGAACCCTCCCAATCTCAGCTGAATCAAAAGCAACTAAAATTTTCTTAATAATTTACCTGCATGTGACCTCAGCTTAACAGCTTGCAATCCAGTTTCAGCCGGCAAAGAACATCCTAACGAGTAGTTGTTTCGAATATGTCCACTATCGCATCATTGTCAATTGGTCAGGGGGTTGCTGAAGAGTTTTTGATAGTGAATTTCTACTTCGCGGACGAATGTGAGAGAGACTTGGCCTCTACTACTCGGAAGCCACGTCACGCTACACTGCCAAGGGCAGCTTCTTCTCAGACCGCACTCCACCCCAAGTCAATGTGCATTTGATCTTCACTCAAGCGAGTTCCCATGTTCAAAATGCACCCAGAAGAGCAATGAGCCAATGAAGTGCAGCGCACCTGTTATTGCTCAAGTGCACATGGGCCGGCCCATCAGCTGTGATTATGTAGGCTTTTCCTCTCCGAACCTCAACCAACGTTGCGTTCCTTCTCTCGATCAGCAGATTCGTAACAATAAATTCGGCCGTATTGTGATGAGGCAACAGAGATATGTGTTAACGTTCCTTACACACCGATATCCCACAGCTCACGATCAACTTCGAAAGATCTTGCCTACGAGACAGTAGTCGCTTCGAGGGCAGTCACACGAGTATTCTTGGTTTCTCGGTGATACATACTCCTTTCAATAAATTCAAGACAACTGCATGCTTTGACTGCTTCAATCTCATGTACAGTCCGGCGTTGTACTACGACTTCAAGGCGACTGACCGCAGGCTTATGCGAAGCATGGGAAGTAAGGGTGAGCCCCCTTTCTCCAGCAAAACAACATTGTGTCACGGGGAGAAAGAATTGTTTGCTGCACGCGATCAACGGCATCATGTTCGCAACGTGTTGGCAGTAATCCTATGAACAGTTCTCCAGTATGGTCTTCAGAGAGGCTCATTTGAATTGCGTCTTGAAACAGCGAAGCCAAAGCCTACTAAGGCTATCTCAAATCCAGCAACACGTAGGTAATCAGAGAGCTCAAGATTTGTTGAAAGTACTTACAAGATAAGGTTTCACGCCAAAACTCCATCATGAAGAGATTCTCTATCCAGAGGCTCAGTTCTCACTTAGGTGGCGAAGTAGGTGCGGGGGGCGTTGCCGCGACAATCACAACCTTTCTCTGCCGCCTTTTCTTTCTGCAGCTCCTTACGCAGCAAAACACGCATGAGCAGACCAACACGAAGAAAATTACAGGACATCCAACCACTAGGAACATGAAAAGACTATCTTTTGTAAAGTCAGGCCCACTCTCAAGTCTCGGCGGTTTGTAGTCATAAACTCCATCCGGGATCGTTTGACCAATTGTCCATGTCGGCACTACCATTAGGCTAGCTAATGTCGGTAACTTTGGCGTCAAGGTCGCAGTGTCAGATGCATCCCAAGTCACGGTCCAGGGTGTATGTATCATAAGCACTTGATCCGATTTCGCGTCCTCGGGGTTGGGAAGGGCTTCTGTCCTGGGGCCCCATGCGGCGCAGGCCCGCCCATTGACCCATGTGTAATTGAACCCACTCCAATTCTAGTCAGCGGTCAAGACATAGACACAACAAGCAACGGATGAGGTGATGAAGAAAATATTGCAAACAAACCTATTGCAGCAGTAAGCTGATGTAGGGCCCTCGGTATGTGTACGGGCCATGCTATAATACGTCCAATTCTCGGGGCACACGCCCGGGCTAAAATTGAGCCGGCTTGTCCTCTCGACGCGATCCCATCCAGAGGGATAACATGATGACGGGGGAGCAGAGACAGAGACCTTTGACATGACGGTGTGGTATACTTCGCCGCTGGAGAACGAAGTAAGAGGTAGGTGCGGCATTTCTGTCATAGTCCATTGGTTCGAACAGTCTGGCGGCTGCACGAAAGGCGTGGTTATGGCGAGTTTTTCAGTGGATGTGGCAAGAATGGATTTTGTGATGTTGGAAGACATGACTAGTTCTGCAGCGCGCCGAAGACGCAAGTAAGTTGGAAGAAGTTTGGTTGGAACTAACGAAGAGATTTCGCGTCTGGAAATGTGCTTGGGCTTTGTCTCTTATACACGATCAAGCCCTTCAGAGTTATGCGCCAAGGAGGCAAAGCAAATATGAGCGAGGCCCTAATTGGCAAGAAAAGACATGGGCCTGGCCAAAGAGGGCAGGTTGGGGACTAGCGGGGCTTTACATGTACACATTAATATCGCACTGCACTAATTACGACCCCAATGCGACTCTTCTCAATACCATAAGATTTTATGACACGCTGACTTCGTGCGTTGGACTATGATTTCAAACGAGTGTCCATGAATCAAGCAGAAAATCCACAAGGCTAACTAAACTAGTAAGGGTGCCCGCAAAATGTTGAAAAGACGGCTGTGAAGCCTCCATGTCAAAACAAAGTAGAGTTGAAGTCCGGGTTTGGCACACTCTCCTCCAGGACTGTGCCGTTGCTGAAAACCGTCCCGTTCCTCAAAATCTCGACCCGACCCGGATGAAGGCCAAGCGGCGGGTCGGCAATAGTCGTCCCATTTGCGAAAATTATGCCGTTGAATTGCGACACTAGGGGGCTCGGAGGCTTTCTCAGATTCTTCGGACTTGGAAGCAAAGGAGACCTTCTCTTGCTAATGTCGCAGTTTTCGCTGATTGTGTATAAGTTGAGACCAATCGCCAAAGTATACAACTCAGCACTCAATGCATCCCACCTAGGCTCATTCATGATCACCATGCCAATGTAATCGACCAAGATGACGTTGGGGAAGACTTTGTCTGAGATCTCATTCACGCCCTTCCAGTAGAGTGCTGGATTGGTGGGCAGAACGGCGATTGACTGGAGGCCGTAGGTAAACGTCGAAGTCAAGAAATGCGGTGTACTGAGCCACTGGGCGATGTAGAAGTTGCCCTCAGTCTTATCTGTCCACTTCTTGATTGCCCATTCAGCCATCTCTTTCGTGTCTTCTTTTTCGGGCCACGCATCAGTCAAGTCGATATAATCGATGTTGTAGATGCCATCGTCAGCTGAAGTATGCTTGGTTTTATCGGAGATCTTAGACAGATGTTGCGTATTCAAAAAGATAAGCACGCAACCCTTGTTATCATTCTTGTCCATCAAATCGCCAATCTTCGACGTTTGCAAACGACTGGCAAGTCCCGGGCACCGATTGTTGATCTTTTTGAGTTTGTCAAAGAACTTGTTCTTGATACCTTCATCCCAATAAATGGGTCCAAGGCTCGGCACATCGCGGACACCGACCAGATAGCGAAACTGCAAAAAGATAACCTCGCCAGGATTCTCATCCGTGAATCGATTAATCTCCTTGATGACGTCGTCAAAGTTCTCTCCCGTATTTCCAATCACGACTTCCGCAACCTCATCAGACACGTGCATCGTCCAGAAGTCGTAGTTGCCGCAACAGTTGACAGCCTGATGAACACTGGAAACACGCAAGTCGAACCAGCGAGATCCGGCTCGCAGTTGATCGTATATGTTCAACACTTGAGTTTGTGTGTTGCCCTCACTTCCTACCGACACAATGGCTTGTGTTATCTTGCTCATGCCTGCATCGTGGGTGCCTGGCATCACCACATTGGCCACTGTCCGGTCACGGATCGTATCCTTGATAGAGTTCATCCAATTTCCCGGTCCGTGCGATAGTGAAGTGATGAACCCAAAGGAATCACTCCCAGTGATGACAAGAGTCACAGGTACCTCCTGACCCGGCACCCTGTACTCGCGCTGACCCTTGCCCATCCCGCTCAGGTCGAAAACGATGCGCCTGGGGTAGGTATCGGGGATATGAGTTGTGGCACGTACGACAAACTTCTTGCCAGTGTTACCGATATCATAGTACGCTTCTCCGTTGTCATCGACATTGTTGGCACCAATTCTCCCAGTGTAGTGCGCGACATTTTGACGCGCCTTGCCTGGAGGAATATCGCCCCAGTTGAACTCGTCCATCTGGTAGCTGTGTGTTGAAGTGAGCTTGAAAGGGTGCGGCGTGAGATTGACGATGGTGATGTATTGCCTGCCCGTCGCTGCTGCATTCTCAGGGTCCATCAACAACCAGCGCATATACTCGCCATTCCGATCAAGAGGCAGTTCGCTGTAGGTCCTATCGCTCGCTTGGCAGGTATCATTGGGGTCGATTGGCGGTTCCGTCTCTTCGTCGTCGTTTGACTTGCAAACCTCAGGACACCAGGTACGAGAGCAGGCAAACTCGCACAACTTCTCATCGTTGTAATCCCCAACAGGTTTTCCAGTTGCACCGGGTACCTGCGCTGGTGGCTCTATCAGGCCTCCCTCTGATGTACATCGGCAAACGTGCAGAGGACAGAAGCCGAAGTTGCAGGCGTAGGAACAAAGTCCCTCGAAGCGTTCATACCCTGCTCGAGAGGTACCTGCCCTACAGGCAGGTGGAAGAAACTCGGAGACAGTCGGTACGATAGTCGTCTGAGGAGTCTCAGAACAAAACTCTTCTGGACAGAATCCCAGGTTACAGGCATTCGAGCAGAGTCCGGAGTAATTCTCGCTCTTCCCCTTGGCGGGAAATCCGTCTTTCTCGAGCGCTGGCGGCTTTGTGTTGGGCACTCCCACAGCCTGGCACAAGCAGGACGACACGGGGCAATAGTTGTACTTGCAATTGAATTCGCAGAGCTCTCTGAAGCCCTTGGCTCCAGTTCCCTTGATGCAGCCTTGGTTTTGTCTCGAGTTTGGCATCGTCACGGAGACGGAGCCGGCAACGACAGCACTGCCAACCCACGGGTTCCAGTTCGTACGCCCATTGTCGCAGCTCGCAGAGCTGAAGGCAGGTCCGTCAACCCTCGCTAGAAGTCTCCCAGGTCTGGAGAGCTGGACGTTCACATCGCCGGTCTCACTAAGGAGGACCACGCTGCCATGATAGACGCCAACACCTCCATCAGGAATCGAAGACCATGTCGGGGTAAATGTCTTGCCACCAACTGTGACTGTGACCTCAGCTGCCGACCCGAGTACTGCGGAGAAAAATATCTTGTCCAACATGATAAGCTGTGGAGGGAATTCGATTTGAAGTTGGCTTGCTGTATTGCCGACGGTGCCACCATCAGAGCAGGCGCTGGACGGGCTTGTACGGTACCAGACAACGAGGCTCTCTTGAGATACAGTAGCTTTGCCTGTCTTGTAGTAGTCAATCCAGAAAGGTAGAGTCTGACGCCAGCCATCGTGAGGTCTGTTGTTGGCATAGTTGTATGGCGCTTTTCCAACCGTGAACGCCTCCATAGCGTGGCTGTAAAGAGGACCAATGTGATGAGATTCACCATAGTCGTTCCAAGAGATGATTTGGACATATCTGGAACGTATATTAGTACAATGTCATCCTTGAAGCACTCTCAAGCTGGTACTTACTCAGGCTGGTTGTAAATGACCTGAATCCACCGATCATGCCATATATCGTCACCTCGCCACATCCAGTTCTTGTTGTACCCGGGCATATTGGTGTAGAACCATGGCGAAACAGGCATCATATAAGGCCTCCTGTCCAAGTATTGAAAGTACGGGGCGTCGACATAAGTGTCCATGTCTCGAGGACCCCAGGGCCAAGCAGCCCAGTTGAAGAGGCCGTCCGCGACGTTGTTTCCGAGGGCCAGAGCTGGCCTTGCTCCTTCAGACGATCAGTCCGGAATGAAGAAGCAGCTGACTTGGCTTTTGATGTCGATCCAGTCTTCCGCATTGCCAGGGCCCTCGAAGGTAGAAACCAAAGGTCTTCCGTCACTGTGCTTGAAGTACTCGGCTTTCGATGTATACTTCTTCAGATAGCTGATGACGGTCTCCTTCGGCCAAGGACCTCTCCCTGCGTAGTCGAAAGAGAATAGAAGCTTGAATCCTTCGTCTTTGGCGACATTGAAAGCGCGCTCAAGAGAAACCTCGTTCATGGACTCTCCATGGGCCATGTTGAGGGCAAAGGCGTCAATATGAGCTTCTTTGGCGAGTCTAATGTCCGTACGCCAGGTACTTTCTGTGTACTCGGCCGTGTTTCCCACCTGGCAGAGTGTAAGTAGATGCCCATCGGCCAGGGAATAGCATTTCATTCTGTGAACTGACCATGAAATGTGCGAAAACTGCAGCACTCTGGACGCGGACTGCGCCAGCAACGGCTAAAAGAAGGACGTTGAGTTTCATAACTCCAATCTATAGTGCAAAATCCCGGAAGTTTAAAAGAATGGATCCAGAAGCAGAACTTGCTGGAGAATTGCATCAAGTATGTGAAAGCCTCAATAGCATTTATATACCAGTTTTGCTCCATATCGATGGCCAGGCTTCCTTCACCCTCTCCTGTCTCCGAATGAATAAATCTCTGATAAAGGGGCCCAGTCGTCTGTCAGAAACGAACACCTTTCAGAATGCTCATCTTCCATGGGGCGTAGTGGCCCGGACGAGGGCCACCAGGCTGGGACTCAACGAAGCTGAGGCACAGCACGATTAATTTCTCGCAACACCAGCAGCTGACCCATAATGCAGTGCATCTTAGAGGCACAGCGTCGTTCTTGAGAATGTGGTAAGAAAATATCTCAAGGCCCTGTTATGGAAATATGATATCCAGAGCCATAAGGACTTTGGTTCAACTCCGGTAGCCTGCCGAGGAACGTTAGCTTAGATCAAGATATTGGACAACTCTCAACTTGCAGCTTACACTGACTGCATAACTCCAAAAGTTCATTCGCTTTTGGATACCTGTATTGATGTAAAGTGGTGAGCTTTCTCGGCTTTCGCTGGGCATCTCATTGTCAGCCGACATCCGTTTGACCTTCTATCCGGACAGGCAGGGATCACAAGCACCGTCAATCACAGTGTAAGCAATACCAAGGCTGATTTATGCTATAGCGGGCCGTCATAAGCGAAGAGGAGGCGTTTTCCCAATGCGGTATGTCTTGGCCGGATGCCGCCTGTCGATATGCTGTTGGAACGTTGGACCCTGTTGGAACGTTGGACCCTAAATGCGGAGGACTCCGAGGGCTTGGCTCTTGCCTGTTTGGTTAATCCCGTGAGGTAAATTTCTCGCGAGCGAATAGAGGGCCAGATATGTTTGAGATTTTAGGCGGCAATGCAACATCTCAGTTGAGTATTCTGGGCTAGACTCATCTTGAGCAGAGGACCCTCTATCGACGCCGTCTTACCGCATGAGCCCTTGCAGTAGGAAGCTCTAAGTGAAGAAAAGCTATCAGCCGGAAACACTGAGATCATTTTCGTGACAGGCTTTCACTTTGGGGGCCGATAACTGCACACAAGGATTACAATGACTCAGTGTTGTGGAGGGGCAGGGCCGGCGATTTGGTTGTCTGTTGGTTGCAAATTAACATCGTGGAATGTCAAACGCAAATTTTCGCCAGGCTCGGGACCACACAACTGCAGGGGCATTTTTGCACCTATCAAAACATGTTCAACAGCGGAAGAAGGCTGAAGCGTCTTGCGCAATATCCCTCATCAGCAAATTCAACCAGACCGTTGGGCAAAAAGTCCGCGGCGGTTGTCTTGGGAAAGTCGGTCTGGGGAGTCCGAGACTTGATTCAGACTTGAGAACCATTCCTACAATGTGCAGGTTGGTTGCACACTTGGTGAATGAATTTTCATATCATGACACATCAATCTTATTTCCAAGTCCTTGACTTCTTATGAGTGGATGTCTCTGTAGACATATCCCCATTTATTAGTGTCGAATTATGTTTGAGGCTGGATCTATTGCGGGATGTCCTCACCTGATACACTTCAATTAGGTCTCCGTCAAAGTTGTTGAGACTGACAGTTATGGGCAAAATCCTTTCAGACTGGTCGTCAAGCCATCCCAATCGTATTGTAGGGCAATTGACAGCCACCATAACTAATTCTCGGCGGCGTCGCCCTCGCCCATCATTTTAGCAAGTGAAAGCTGATCCTACCCTTCCATCATTGTACGCATCGATGATGCTTTGGATTGTTGTGTAAGTGCCCACGACGGTCATGAATGATCCCAAAACTATCGTAAAGATGTGTAGGGCACAGAAAGACATCTTGACTTTACTAGAGGACCTCTTCTCCCAGTCCATGTAGAGGCCCATGAATGCTGGGATGATCAGCTGTCGTGTGGCACGATTCGTCAGTGAACAGTCACATCGAGACTCGCCCTGAAGTCTAGTAGATCGGCTTGCACTTACACAAGTAGGCATGCAGCAAATAGAACCAATGAGTCCAACCAGATAGCTAAAGAACGGGACCGCTTCAGCGATGATAAAAGCTAACGCGCTGATACCTATCGTTGAGCCACTGCAGATTGCTGATATCAGTGTGACGAACGTCTGTCCTACAAAAGCGATCGGAACTTACAGCCAAGTGACCCAATGAATGACGGTCTTACTTTGTAGATGTACAGAGTTGCGAAGAATGCGTACAAGAAGCTAGTACAAGACTTGTCAGTAGTAACACTCACTGATAGGATGAAATTATTCTCCTACGGATTTGGCTGCTAGATGAACCCAAAGAGTCGTTGTCATGATGAATCCAGGAATCGAAACACCATACGCTATCTTTTCTAATGTCCCGCCAGCAGAGCCCAGAGATGGACTGGCCACGTACTTTCCGCAATACCTACGATTGATTCATCAGTCAAGTTCTCCATTGATTTGTAATACAATTGAACTGTCCTCCAGCTATTTGGTTCACTTACATGTAGACGACCGTACCAAATGCGACATAACATGAGGCTAGAAACACTTGAGACGAGAACAGAGATTTGGTGAAAGATCGTGGGCTTCTCATCTCGGCAATCACGGGCATGAAGGTTGGTGTAGATCCATAACCAGCTTCACGGCTATTAGTCTCTCATCCCATATGTCAACTCAATGTATCAGTGTAGCACAACTTACTGAACAGGTTGACGGCAGCGACAACTCCTGGGACGAATCCAGATACTCCTACGGCGTGTACTTCCATGCCGTATGGTCCGGTTTGTGGCGCTGCCGCAGGCCGATCGACTTGGGTCACACCAACCCTTTTGCGCGGAATGTTGTCAGCAATTCTATAAAGCCCCAAGTTGGTGAATATTGAGAAGAGTTGATAGACTCACACGACAATGAAGACAGCCGTAAAAATGGAAGCGAATCCTATCCAAGCTAGGATCGATAATCTCCCCAAAGTGGGAATGCTAGACACGATTGCGGTGCATGTGGCCGCGACGAGTGTCCACGCAATGTTGCAGACGTGGCGGTTCGAAAGTGTCTTGAACCCTTCCGCCAAACCAATGAAGCCAGAACCGGATGCGAGGCTTTTTTGAGTGTCAGTATTGTTGGGAAACAATCGATTGCTCAACAGAATTTCTCGTGTCTTACATCCAAGTCAGCAGAAAGAGACCACCAGCAATCTCTCGGGCAATAGGTCCGCCCATCAGCGCCGCAGCATCAGCAATACTGTGAACTCCAGCGTATCTCATCCTAAAGACGTACATTATGTACGCATAGTCTTGCGGCACGTACGATTAGTACGAGTATGCAAGAGACGGGATTTGGGGACAATGTTGAAATGAAGGCTTACAAGTTGCCAGTGTTCCCCAACCCACGAGCAGAGCAATTCCCGGGCCGTACCCAACTGAGCTGAAGGCAGATGGAATTGTCAATACACCAGTGGCAAAGCATAGCTTCATCAAAATTATGCCAGTGCGTTTCCTGAGATGATGCACAGTGTCAGTGATCTTGCCTTCGAAAGTGAAATTCCGACTTTGATCATAACATGACCTACCAACCTAAGGCCCTGTATTCCTCCTCATGGAAGACCTCACGGTTATCATCGATGTCAATGCACTCCGTTTTGCTGTTTCGTTCGGGGAACGCATCGCCGTTCGTCGCCGGCTCCATTTTCTCGGATGAGCCCTCCAAAGATGTACTTGTGTACGGTGGCATCGTAGGTGATTTTCCGTGACTATTGCCACTGGGCTAATAAAGAAGGAGGAATATTACAGCACCAGAAATCCTGAGTCGAGATAAATAATCTCTTGTGTGATCTAGCTGTTGCCAACCACGTTGTCGACTACATGAAAGGAACATTCAGAACCAAAAATTTTCAGCGAGGAAGCTCCAGCAACAGCATCTTATATTGAAGTCAGGAAACGCCAGATATTAGATAACTACCGAAGGGGAGCAACCTCGGAGAGTAAGGTAACATTTAAGATACAAGACACTGTTGAGCCTGTAGGATTGCTCGTTCAAGATCCACTTCCGTGCTCATGTCCGGTCAAGCGCTATCTGAATGACATACTGTCACTGCCGGGTGACAATCTCGACCGCCGTCAGCGGAGCGCGTTATCACAGGTTCCAGTATACAGACGGGGATGTCGCCGATCCTATCTGCGGGGGAATCACTTGGGTTCCCCATGGAGATAAAGCCCCCAACCCCCATCCCACTGTAGATAATGGTTGTGGGTAAGTGGGACTTCGCGAAAAGCCGACACTAGCGAATTCCCGATCATCCTGCTACGCTAGTCTTGACATCAGGAGAGACTTGGGGTTGGCATCATTTGTCATGGAATCACTGATTGATCAACTCTTTGATCAGACTGCCTTCGCGTTTGAGTCTAAGGCAAGTGCGATTGGCTATGTGAGATCATCACGGCCGGAATCATCACGTCTCTTCGCTCTAGGGAATATCTGGCTTGCTCGAACGAAAGTATGGTCATGGAGTCAATGTCGAACGTAGATGCATACGTCTTTAGTCTTGACTAACACCTCGAAATACAAATTCCACACCACCGATGCTGACCAGACCTCCTTCTACCGACTTCTGCGCTTCGTTGTCTACCACAGTTGCCACCGCGGACGCTTTGGGCATGCTTCCATCATTCTCGGATTCAAATGTACACTTCCAAATTCCATGCTGGGAATCGTAATCCTCTCGTCGCGTGGCAAATTCTGTCGTCGACGCCTTGCGGATGGCAAGATATGTGACCCCAACTTTGCCAATGAAAGTTCTTCCGTCTTTGCTCTGAAGCATCCAGGAAGGCGAATCATTCGTGCCACGTCTCGTAACATCTCTCCAGACTTCTTCGTAGTCGGTTGGGACACCGCTCTTGTGAGGACAAGGCGTGGTGCCGATTTCGAGGTCATCCCCATTAGGTAGCTTCTCGAAATAGGCATCGTCAGGTACGGTCAGGTTTAAGGAGTCAATGATATGTGTCCATCGAAATGTTGCTGTGGCTCGATTGATAGGTCAAAACAAGATCTTTGATTGTCGAGCAGAAAGACATTTGGGATGATGATGACAGTACGTACGGGGTTCGGTCTTCAGAGTGATTCTCTCTCCCGCGCGGCTCCATTGAACAGTCTGAGTTTCTTTGGCAACCCGCAAGTCTATGAAGTACCTTCCTACGTTGAGTGCAATCGTATCGGTATCTTCATAGGCAGGCTCGGGCAACCAGCGAATGCTGATGCGCTGGACGGCTTGGGACGGCATATTGTTGTTCGATGGCTTAATGCAATCCTAAATCAGGTTTGAGCGTAGAAAGTAGATCTCAGGACCATGCAGATGATAGAATGATGGGTATCGACGTCTTAATGTGGACCGGCAGTGGGGTACTTATACCTGAGGTGGTCGCAGACTCACGTGTCGTCATCTACACAGCGAATGTGAATGACAAGTCTTCGAATCTCAAGCTATGGGCCTAGAGGGCCTCCACAGCAGACAATCATCATACCTCGGGTCTCTGGAAAGGTTTGGTTATTTTCCTGTATACTTGATGTTCAGCCCCTCCGCGGACGCGTTCTACGACGTAAGTTTCGAAAAATTACCCCAGATGAAGTCGTATTAAATTGAGATGATCAGTTCACCAACACAACGAAATTCTCACGACACATGGAGAGATTTGAACCAGATAAAACGATATGCACCAACTGTCAATGGCATTCAGTATGAAAGTGAACCCGGATTCATCTGAGAGACCGAGACGGATTTATCTACTAGTCTGGGTGGGGTTGAGAAGCGGCCAATCATGTGCGAACCAACTAACCCCCTCATCCCCAGGAGTTTTTGACATGAACATACACAGAGCTGTTACTGAACTCGTGTGTATGGAGCAGATCCACGGATTAACAGCGGCCAAGGTACTTCATGATGCTTATTCAGTCTTGTTGTGTGTTGGTGTCGTAGACAATCGTCAAATCCTTTGATCAGTGGCGGCTGGTTGAAGATGGGTTCCGACCTGAGAAGCAAAAGGCACAGATCCACGCCAGCCTGCGCGAGATGTCATCGACTCAAGCAAAAGGTATGATTTCAGTAAAGTCTTCTTGGATGATTGCCCACTTGACTGACGGTTTCATCCAGTGCGATAGAGGTACGCCAAGATGTCTAAGATGCGTTGCCGCCAGAGCTGAGTGCACCGCAATCAACCGGCAAAAGTCTGCCGAAATTCCTCGCAGGCATGTTGTATTGTCGTATTGATCTGTAAATACTGAAGTTAAATCTGATAAACTATGTTGATAGTCTTCTTCAGCACCTCGAACATCGCTTAGCCGAGTTGCAACGACTGAAGTCCGCCTCAGCAGATGCAGATGACCACGGCTCCGTCAATGAAGTCCGTGAAGCTGACGTCGCTCACGATGTCGCCGCTCAGATAGCCTCCATCTCAATCACGAAAAACCTTTCTCTCAGTCTCTTTCAAGGCTCGGCTATATTACCACATAAGTCGAAACTCTTCTATCCCTCTGAGCGTCCACCACTTAAAATCCCAATTCGCGGAATCTACCACGAAGTCAACCCCCGAACAGCAGGCGAAGCATACGCAAGCCAGTTCTCAAGCTTCAACTCACAACACGTTCCTCTCAACGTGATGGAACGGCTATTCAGAAACTACACTGAAGAGATCCTCCCGCGATTCCCCTGTTTCTCGGAGGCAGAGCTAGCCTACCAGTTTAACCACACATGCATCAACAGCGCTGAACCGGGGCTTTCCCGCGTTCAAGATGCCCTTTCTCGATTCGTCATCTCGATGATCATGGCAATTAGTGCCCTCAACTCAAAAAACCAAGACTTTCGTAAAGTCGCGGCTCTCAGTGAGGCTCTACACGCGGACGCCATGAAGTACGTCGACGAGTTGCTGCGTGAATGTTCCATCTCGGCTTTACAGTGTCTGATACTGCTTATACAACTTGCGCTGTTGCTACCTCAAACTTCCAATCTATGGTATCTCACCGGAGAGGCTATGCGCATGGCTGTAAACCTTGGACTGCATCAAGAGCCAGAACCACGCATCTTTAGAGATAGAGCACACGCGGAGCAGCGCCGACGCATCTTTTGGGTTGTAAGTGCATGGTCAATAGAAGTCTAGGTCAGGCTTGTTGCTCACATAACCCCATACAGGTCTACCAGCTCGACAGAATCGTCTCCATCTCTGGAGGATGTCCAGTTGCCTTGAGTGATGAGCACATTACAACCAGGCTTCCCTACGACTTCGGCGACTTGTCTGACTTGGCAGAAAGGGCCGATTCAAAGCGAGTCAGCAACCCAAAAGAGCGGCAGTTCCTCCTTGACCTCCAAGTCTGCATCATGAAATCCGAGATCCAGGCAACTCAATTCTTCGACCGCCCTGTTCCAAATCAATCGGGTTCCCACGACGATTGGATCGAGCAGATGAATATTAGAACACAACGCCTCTCTCATGGGGCCTCGGCGCACGGAGGCCCGCACTCATCGTTGGTTGCTAGTTGTTTCCAATGCCAAGTCATGCTACACCGTCCTTGCTCCCGCAACATCGCCGTTTCCGAAACATCTCTGGTATCCGTGGTCAAGGCGGCCGTCGAGCTGATATCACTGGATGCGAAAGCAGCCGAGTCCGGCGGTATTGTCATGGTATTTGAGATCGGCAACAGAATTTTCCAAGCGGGCATGCTCTTGCTCTACGCCCTTCGGAACCATGCTACAACGTTACAGCGTGCGTCACTCGCAGACATTGCCACAGCCTCATTGAAAAGTCTCTCAGTACTTCTTGTAAGTCTAGCTCAATACCAGAAAGACCGGAACGAGGATCCTTACCAAAACAGTCACTGACTCGGATTATAGAACAACCTCTCAAGCAGATGGCCACCTCTATCCGACACAGCAAGCTACATCAACGAACTAATCGAAACGAACCTCCGCAACCCGCTCGGCCACAACGGAAGCCACTACGACATGCAAGTCCTCGAAGAACTCGACTGTCTAGTCACCCAGCGACGAATCCACAGCATCCGCCACCGAAACATCCCCTTCCCGCCTCCAAAGAAACCCACGCCTTCTCCCTCGGAACCAGAAAACATCGGCAGAGACTTTCTGAATGACGAGCAGTGGTGGACAGACTTCATAGACCAAGACTTCGTCACCAATGAGAGTTGCTTCTCACTTCCTTCTGGCGGCGGACAAACGGTTTCCTCGCCTTCTTCCGAACCTAACGAGACTAGAGCTGAGCGTGGGCGAGATACCATGGACAACAACGCCAGCGACTTGGAAAAGGAGCTAGACGTCATTCTTGACGCGATTCCCTCTTGCAGCTTTTGTAGGGATAGACGGACAAAGTGTCAGCGTCAACTTCCCGCTTGCAAGGAGTGCGCGAGGACCTCGCGAGAGTGCTTCATTTACGATCCGATTCTGAAGGCAAACATCCCACTCCGACGTGTGCAACTTCTCATCGGGGAGCTGAAGGTTCTAGCAAAGCAGACACCATCACCTGCACGTTCGTCGAACAACACACAACAGCCACCAACTTCCGGAAATCCTTTATTCCTGCCTTTCCAACGGGGCGCATCTCCTCTTTCCGAAGCCACATCATGCATCTCCCTGTCTAGCACTGTGTTCTTTGGCCCCTGGTCCTCTCTTGGTTGTCTACGAGATCAACTTCAACATAAAGCAAGCTACAAACTACCATCTACCGTATGCACTGCCATGAGAAACACGATTCCGACTCTCTCGTTTCAGAGCCTCATTTCCTTCCAACCTTTGCCAGAAAGTCTAGCTGCTCCCATCTTCAACCTCTTCAGCCGCTCAATAAACACTTTCTTCCCAACCTTCCAACCCCAAACCCTCGACATCATCCTGATCGCATATTACCACCCAAACGCTACTCCTTCGCGTCCTCACAATACCCCTCTCTTCAACCTGATAATTGCCCTTGGCGCCCAAATCAGCAGCAAATCGACACCCTCATTCTCCGCCCTCGCAGAACATCACTTCCAAAACGCTATCAGCTCTCTCCCAACCACCTGCGCCCACGCCTCCCGCACCGAAAACGTCAGTCTACTTCAACGAACCCTCCTCATCTGCGTCTACACCCTCCTCGAACCCAGAGCAGGAGATGTCTGGCGACATCTGGGCTTCGCCATCCGCCTCTTTCTCGACTTGTCGCATCGGCCATCGATGGAGGAAGACGAGGACCATGGTGTGTTTTGCATGCTTACTAGGACTTTGTACACTCTCGAGAGGTATGTTCACCCACCCGAGTACTAAGATTCACGATGGAAGAGGCTAATGGTCCTGTGAAGCCATGTTTCGATTGCCTTTGGTCGACCAAGTCTACTCGTCATCGGAGACGATCTCCGTCGCGTATGTCCCCAACATACATCTTATGCCATCTGCATCTGACGTTTTGTCATAGGAGCTCGTAGAAAAGAGCGGCAACAGCCTCCAAGATGAGATCTCAATCTCTTCATACCAAGTATCCCTCCTCAAAATGCAGATCCACAGCACAATTTTGTCTCGCGAACGCAAGGCTTCAGTCATCCACGAGACTCAACCCCTTCGAGAAATGTGCGAAACCTACCGCCAAAGTCTTGACTCATGGTTCGCGAGATGGAGAGAAATCGTAAGTCCAACTTCTTCGGCATCTGCGACTCCATCTTCAACACCACAGAGTCACGTTCTCCAAGAAACCCTGCTCTCATGGGGCTCGCTGCACTACCACCACGGCATGTCCCTCATCACAACCCTCTGGCCAACACCGGGCGGAGATCCATCCACCATTTGCGGCGGTGTGAGCAACGCGGGGTTACAACTCGTTCGTCACCAGCAGCTTTTTGCAAATCTCATCTGCGAGGGAGCACCATCGGGTGAAGGAGACGTCGTAGTGTTCCCTTGCGAGTGGACCATGGCTCATCTGGTGCTCCAAGTTGGTCTCCGCGCTATAGGAGAGAAAGACAAATCGGTCGTCGGCGGGAAGAACGAGGACCCGTCACTGGCACTTTGCTTCTCGTTATTGCTGCTTCTGGAGGCTGATGACTCGAAACTATTGAGAGGGCTGTCACCAGTTTTTGAGCGGCTATCCGAGAAGGTTTCATTATGACAATAGATTTGAGATCTAGGGAGTAAACTCCTTATCCAGGCCGACGCAATCACAAGGTATTACGAAGACACTGCCGTGATTTAAGCTCCAAGACGAAGTGAAAGTCAAAATATGCACGCTTTTGATGATTATTCTGATACCCTCTAACAACAAAACCCACTTTTCTAAATCCTGAAGTCCTTGTAAGACCACTTCTCCGTAAGCTTCGCCCTCGCCTGCTTCTTGAACGGGATATGTCTCCTCGACTCCACCTTGCCGCGGACAAGCAGACTACGGTACCGGTCCTTGAGCAGGTTACCCTCAGGCCTCAACAACCGCAGCGAATCCTGCAGCTCATCCGGCAGGACCAGCTCCAGGTCCTTCTCGGGCAACTTCATCTTGCCGAGCTGTCTCCTCCGCAGCCGCCCCTCGTCCACGATATCCTCCTCGTCGTCATCAGCGTCGCTCCCCTCGCCCACCTCCTTGGCCAGCGCCAACGCGCTCTTGGAGGCGTCGCGGCCCGCAATCTCGGCCGCGATCTCCTTGATCCGCTCCGCCTGCGCCGCCTTCTTCTTCAGCGCGAGCTGGTGCTTGGCCTCGCGCTCCGCCTCCTTGCGGCGCTTGATCCGGTTCCTCTGCTGCGGCGTCTTGCGCTGGGGTCTCTTGGTCGTGGGCTTGTCGTCCCCCTCGACGCCGCTCTCGAACCCTTCCCACGCGGAATCCTCGTCCCACTCGGACAGCTGCGCGCGCGCTTCCGCGGCGTCGGCCTCGGCGGCGGACTTGGCGACGGCCTCGCGCTTGATGCGGTCGGCTTCCTCGGCGGCGAGACGGGCTTCTTCGGCGGCGACGGCGCGGGCGCCCTCTTCTTCGAGGCGGTCGGCGTAGTCGTCAAAGGTCGGGTTGTAGGAGTATCCGCCCGTGGGCTTGACGACGGCGGGGAGCTGGCGGCCGCTGGCTGTGAGGGAGATGGGGGCGTGTTTGAGGGTCTTGGGGGGCTTGGCTTTTTGTTCGGCGGGGAGGAAGTTGTCTTTGCTGGTCTTGCTTGCTGCTGCTACGGCCTTGGAGGAGGCAGACGGCGCGGCACCCCAGAGGTCGTAGGTCGCTTCCTGGGGTACGAGGGCGGTGGATTCTTCTTGGTGGCCGTCGGCGACGCGGCGGAGGCGGCTCAGTTCCTTGTGAGAGACCCAATCGGTGCGCAGGCGCTTGACGGGGAGGAGGCCGTCCGAGGTCTTTGAGAGGGCGGTTTCGGCGTCGCGCTTCTGCTTGCGGGAGGAGACGGCGGGGACGGAGGAGCGGGCGGCGAGGATCTCGTCGGACTTGAGCGTCTTCTTTGGCTTGGGGCGCTTTTCGACTTTGCCGACTGTGTCGAGGGTGAAGAGGTCTGCCGAATCCTTTTCTGCGACGACGCCACTATAGGATGTTTGGTTAGTTGTCTACTTCGTGTGCCAATAGGGGGGTTCCTGAGAGTGGCAAGAGATTTTGAAGGGGAACAGGGTTACGTACCCGGCGATAATCTGTGTGTTCAACTCATCGAGACCTTCTTGCACCTCAGAGACGTCGACGTTCTTCCTCCACGCCTTCTTTCCCTTTCTTGAGGGCTGCTTGCGTTGCTGGGGAGCTTCGCCGTCGCCCGAGAGGGGCTTAAGAACGGGCATGTTGGATAGGTAGCCGAATCACACTTCGGGCTTGGAGGGGGTTGTTTGGGTAGGTATGTGCAAAGAAGATGAAGAGAATCACCGGGGTATTTCTGATGTCGAAAAGTCGATCTTTGCGCCTTGCCCATTTGCTGGTCGTCGAATCTGCACTCTGCACCAGCTGGAACGGCGGGGCCTGGACCGTCCAGAAATTTTCGAGCAAGGGTCTTTTTTTTTTTTGTCTTATCGGATATGGGGTCCTTCTTATCGATTATCAGCACGTGATGTCCCCCCGTCTTTGCTGGCCTCCTCTGAGCCCACCTCAATGGATGACGGGGGCGTGGTAATGCGCCTAAAGGCGGACAGGTTGACCTCCTTTTACTTGTCCAGCTTGCTCAATTTCCACGACCTGCGATCTATAACCCTCACACCCGTCCTCCTCCCAGCCAGCCAAAACCGCCTCCCTCCGTCGGATCTCGTTCCTTGATCTAGCAAAGCGCTCGGCTTGTCTGCTTGGTTTTATTTGCCGACTCGACGACTCCCTTGCATCGAGCCAACGTGTTGGTTCTGTAGCCCGACTGGCAAAACCCCCGATACCACCCTTCGGAAGCTTCTCTTTGATCAAAAAACCGCAACCATGGCGTCCGGCGCAGGCGGGTCTTACAACAACCCCCTCAAGAAGTTCAAGTACGATTCGCGCCGATTGCGAAATGTTCCTATTCAGACAATTGCACAATAAAACTAACGCAATGACACCCCCAGGCTTGTCTTTTTGGGCGAGCAGAGCGGTATGTTTTCTGCATTTTGTCTCCTTCGATGTGGCGAGAGAGACCCTTGGCTAATATGTTCTTTGTGTTGTTTGCAGTGGGGAAAACTTCACTCATCACTCGATTCATGTACGATTCGTTCGACAACATGTACCAGGCGACTATCGGAATCGACTTCCTCTCCAAGGCAAGCCATCACTACGTTTTCGAAGGGGTCCGAAGAACCACCGTCTAATACTTCGCAGACCATGTACCTTGAGGACCGGACAGTGAGATTACAACTTTGGGATACCGCCGGACAAGAACGTTTCCGCAGTCTGATTCCCTCGTACATTCGCGATTCCAGCGTCGCAGTAGTCGTCTACGACATTTCAAGTACGTGGAACTCCATGGGGGAGGCACAGAAGAGGGAACCCGTGACTGACTTCAAGGCAATCTGAAGATGCGAAATCCTTCCAAAACACCAAGAAGTGGATCGACGACGTGCGTGCCGAGAGAGGAAACGACGTCATCATTGTCCTCGTGGGCAACAAGACGGATTTGAACGACAAGCGCGAAGTGACGACGCAGCAGGGCGAGGAGGAGGCCAAGAAGAACAACCTCATGTTCGTCGAGACTAGCGCGAAGCTGGGACACAACGTCAAGACGCTGTTCAAGAGAATAGCGCAGGCTCTCCCGGGCATGGAGGGAACGGATGCTGCGGCGCAGGCTTCAAGCCAGAGTGCGTAATCCCCTCTCTTTGAGATTTGGTTCACAAAAAGCAGGGTGGTTTATGCTAACTTTAACGCAGTGATCGATGTGAAGACGACCCCCGCCCAATCGTCGCAAGAGGGATGCGCGTGCTAGATGAGTTTCTTCGAGGAGACGGACAAAAAAGACAAAACGACTCTGGAGTAGAAAGTTTCCGAGGCGAGCCGCGACGGACGACGCGGGGCTGAGTTGGAGTTGCCGTTACGTTACGTTGCGACATGACTGGCGGGGCAGGACATCTTAAGCATAGCGTGCAAATGGGGATTTTCAGCATCAGTTACAGTTTGTATAATAACGGGCTATACTCCACGGTCGTTAGTACATACCTACATTTAATGGCTCTTTTTTCTCTTCTTTCCCCAACATTGTCTGTCTACATGGAACACAGGTGTACTTATTCATTTGTGAGCTTCACGTAAGCAGTATCATGTGTCAAAAGCCAGCTGGCGAATGAGTTGTACATGTTGCTCACCGCCCGAAATGGCACGGGACTCCCACGATGGCTGGTGTCCGTGATGCTACGGTGGGCTGTCACCGAGTGCCGGGGTCCGTCAAACATGTGGTGCCAGCGTAGGAGTGGCCCGCAAATCCGTGGCATCGAATTCCCAGGTCCATCCACTTTTCGGATTCGGATACATACCTTACCGCGTATACGGAGTAGAAAGCTGTGCACTCACAGCCAGTGTTGCTGCAGATTGACCCCAGAGAGCGAGGTGCAGCATCAGGTGCAGACGCGAGTGACGGAGAGCAGCGGCGCGGACTCAATCAAAACCCCGGGGCGTGACGCTATGACGGATCGGGTGGGGCCCATCATGTCATCGAGAATTTTAGAAAGGTGCGAACGCAGGGTCTTTCCGCTCTTTATTTTGTTCGGCTGGCTGGCCCATGTCAATTGTCATCCGGCGCTGCCGTTTTGGTTAAAAGTGACGGGGCCTCTTGTTAGGCTCAACTTTTGCGACGCTTCCCCAAAGGCTTCCCACCCTCAGGTTCTTCTGACGTCTTTTACGGATTTACCTGAGCTCTCAGGACCCCTTTCTTTTCTGACGCAATACCTACGGATACCCTTCTTCTGTGTCCGTACACACAAACAGCAAACAGACATCACCAAGACCAAGTGGACGAACAGATAGACAGACGGGCAGGATGGCGTTCTCAAGATTCAGTATGCGGTTACCGCTCCCAAAGGTAAGTGTGTAACACAACCTCATCCCATCAATCCAACTGCGCCCATCAGTTACACAACATCATGTTCATCATCTTTAACCGACGAATTACTGGGCGGTTGGCTAACGCGGAGATCGCGTTTTTATGTGTGCGACAGACCTTTCTAGGATGCATCGGCCTTCAAACAGGCACCGAGGTCATCTCCCTCATCCTCCTCTTCAACAGGCTCACCGGCCTCTACGGCCTACTCGCCATTCTCACAGGCTATGAGTTGTCCGTGACGCAGCTTTCAATGTACCTCTACTCGTTGGGCGTCGTCGTCCTGCTGGCCATGTTCATGCCCCACATCCGCAAGCAGAGCCCCTTTGAGACGCTCAGCCTCGCCTGGCTCTACATCATCGACACCGTCCTCAACGTCGCCTACACCACCTTCTTCGCCGTGAACTGGTACCTCAACAGCAGCGCCCTGGACAAGCACCCGGCAGGCAGCACCACCCCGGCCGCCGCCGGTCCCGCAGCGGCGGCAGAGATTGCGGAGACGGCGCTCGCCAACGGGGCCCCCGTGGTCCCCGACGTGCCCGGCACGACGAAGCACATCGGGCCCCAGGAGTCGTGGATGAGCTTGGGGCTGATTTGCTCCGTCACGCTGGTGCGCGTCTACTTTGCGCTCGTCGTCATGTCGTTCGCGCAGCAGGTCCTGCAGCGGTACAGCGCGGCGGACATGGGCTGGGAAGAGGAAGGCCGTAGCAGCAGCGGCGCCGGCAAGAAGAGCGGCGTCGACGGACCCTTCTCGCAGGGCGAGCCGGGCGGCGAGGGGTCCCGCGGCCGTATCGGGCGCGTGATGCTCGCTCTCGGCCGCGGGTACTGGCTTCGCGAGAGGCCTCAGGAGGAGTGGGCGAGCGCTGTGAGCGCCAAGTTCCGGCACACCGGAGTTTAAGTCTTTTAAACATCGCGGAAGGGCGGATTCAGAGAGCTACCGACGGTACCGGTAAGCATCGAAGCGGCAAGAGATGGATGTCGGTGCGGCATGTCGGGCGGCAGCGGCAGGCTGACCGCTTGGAGTGGATACCGCCGGGACGGCAAGTCGATGATGCCATTGGGGGGTGGTATCATTGGGCGATGGCATCATTTGAGATTTTCTGCGCGCCGAAAAAAGAGGTGGATCGGAGGGACTCATGAGCGAAATGCATGTCGGGGGCGCGATAGGGAACATTGTACAACAACATTTGATGACCCTCAATCACGGAAGGTGAATCGGCGTTTGGGTCATTGGGAGAGATGGTTCGTCACGAGGGCATTCATTCGGTTGGTGCCCGGTTCACGATGGGGGATTATAAGTGGGACCGAGAACGAACGTCCTTTGGTTCCAAACCCCGAATTTGGGGGGAGAGCATACGATACAAGCCATACATATAATAAGCATACTTAGTAGTAGAGTAATACAAGATCTTGAAATCAAAGGGACCATTGGGTGATTGGTGGGTATCGGGCATTGAGCGAACTGTGTGAGAGTGACAGGCGGAAACTGCAAATACAGAGTCTACCATTTGTAATCCGAAAGAATCTCCGGGGGAGGGGGATGGAGATGGTGGGGCAGTTGAACGGGATATGGAGCAGCATGTCAGTCTACGGAATAGTTTCCACTAGTTGACTCGCCTCCAGATGGATGGGATGAGGCACGGCTACGAATCCGAGCCTCTGCCTGCCTCTACCTCTGGTTGAGTCTTATTGAGCCTTGGGAGAGAAAGAGAGTGAGAGTGAGAGGAAAGGCTTACCGGCCGACAACGGCCTTTTTCGGCATTCGGGCATGGGGGGTCCAGATTCGCTGCCCCTGTTCGTGCTGTATTAGCCAAGAAGTGCCATCCACTGATTCCAGCCATTTGAGATGGAATTTGTTAGAGTGTTGTTGAGTGGCTGATTGGGTCAGGCAGATGAGCTAAGAGTCTAGAGCAGAGTCTGGCTAGCTAGTATCCTTCTTTACAAGTTTACATAAGGAAAGTCTATCATAGTCGTAGCCGTCAACGATTCTCGTGATGAATAATACAGCATCCAGGACAGGACCACAGAAGAGGCAACGGCACTCGCTGAAGTCCCGGCTCTTTCCCTTCGTCTCCAGGTACCTGACTACCGCCAGGAAGAATCCCGATGTACCTTTCCTAAGCAATGTACACATACACCAAGTGCAGCGGCATTGCCCCAAGGCAAGCCAACCCGCGGCGCAATGGGAGCAGTGCGGCATGGCAACTGGCGAATGGACTGGGGAGACGCTGCGCTAGCCGATCACGCAATCGACCCTGATGTCGACAAAATTCATTGTTTTCTGCGGGGCGAAATTTCTCAGTGGGCACAGGCTCACAACCGCCCCCCCAAGCACGCCAGCAACAGCAGGCGCAACCCGCCCATCCAGCTGCTCTTGCCTGACTGAAAGACGACGAAACCAAGCAAGGGAAGGAACAGGAATTGGGTACTTGCCAGGTCACTTTTCTGTTGATTCCAAAAGCAGAAAGAACCATCGGAGCTGTTTCGCAACTTCCTGGGGCACCTTAGGACTTTTTTTTTTATCAGCCTGGTTATCCATCGATCTTCCCTTTTAGACCTCTTATTACCTTGACTTACACCACCATCTTCCTCCTCTCTCACACTCACTCACTCACTCTCACCGTCTTCCTCCCTCCGCCTCCCATCTGCCATTGCATCCTACGGCACTCATCTCCGACAATCCTTTCTACGGGTTGATCTGTGTTAGTCGCTACTGCTGTAGTAGACTCATTGCTGGTATTCTGTCCATTCTTGGTTCCTGATCCAGAAGAAGCCAAACAGACAGCACGAGAGGAATCCGGAACTGTACACTGCAAACGGCAGCGAAAAGAGTTTCGAGACCGGCCACTATACGATACCCCCCTTCGAATTCGCCCTCGAAACCTCCTCCAAACACGCACATACACACATATTGACAATGGCGCCGACAAGAGGTCAAATCCAGACGCCTGGAGAAGCTGGTAAGCAAAAGTTGCTCTCTTCAATTCGTGGGATTCCACGGCTTTTGTCTGCTGTTGCTGCTGCTGCTGCTGCTGCTGTCACCCCTGGTCTCGCACTCTGCAGCGGCCGTCATCCTTCAGCGCGTGTGCCCGCTGTAATTACAGCGAAGCTCCGACAATGTTGGGATTGGGCCAATCAGAGCTCTGCTATTTGTCGCATCCCAGCGGTGCAGAGTCCCCCGGCAACCCACTCGTGATGGGCAACGGGCAGCACCCAGAGAGAAAGTGGCAGAGGGATGATGGACGACGCCGACCAGAGACGCGGGATAGTCGCAGTCGCAGTTTGCAACGAGAACGATGACAGTACTGGCTTTTGCTAACACGCCCTCTCTACAGTTGCGAGAATCGCATACCTCTCTAGCGACGTCGTCGTCTCCGTCCAGCCTTCGCTGGCCAAGGACTCGGAGTTCTCATCCCACCTTAAGCGCTACGTCGCTCGCAACGACAAGAGCCTCGTTGCGAAGTCTTCAGTCACAGAGGTGAGCAACTACTCGATTCGTCTTCTCCGCGATTTTTGGCTCGGAAACTGACTGTGACTGTCCCCAGGTGCAACACGTAAGGCACAATGCCGACCCCCTCCTCTCCGTCTTTGCGCCTACTCGCGCCGGCAAGCTCGTCGCCGTAACGACCTCTTCTACCGTTCTCCTTCCCGCCATCTCCCACCTCTACAAGTTGGCAAACTACCCCGTCGTCCTTCACGTCGCCCTTCAGCCCGCTGGCTTCCCCGACTTCTCCGCCATCACAGCTATCCGCAACTCGGGATGGACTTTCCTGCAGTCAGAGTCTCTCCAGGAGGCTCAGGACATGGCACTGACGGCACACGCCCTCGCCCTGCGCTCCGGCAAGGGTGTTGTTCACTTCTTCGCCTCGTCGAGCAGCGACAACGATGCTGCCATTGAGGCAGAGGACCCTGAAATTGTGCGCCAGATTCTCGACGTTGACGCTGCGAGGCGCTTCCAGCAGCCGTCCAACGGCTCTGCCGCGTCGGCTGTCGGTATCTATGCCGATGACGGCCGACTGCCGGTCGCCTCTGACCGATCCGACGTGCCGCCGACCGGCTCCTCCCCCATTAGTGGCCTGAGCTCTTCCGAACTCGCATCGTCCGTGCACTCCAAGCTCGAGTCATCCAGGGCCTCGGTCCAGTCCAGCGCCGAGCACAGCGTCACCGACAGCCCACCCTCTGTCGTCTCCTCCAACGCCACCACGATCGAGTCGTCCCTTCCCGTCGTCTCGTCTGAGGATATCCTCAAGTATGCCAACGGCATCTGGGCTCAGATTAAGAGGATCACCGGCCGTGAATACCAGGCCTTCTTCTATGCCGGTCCCACAAATGCAGAGAACTGCCTCTTTGTCTTCGGCTCCGGAGCCTACTACTTTGGTGATGTGATTGACCAGGCCCGCCGTGGAGGTGACTTCTCCAAGGTCGGCATCCTCACCCCCAGGCTGTACCGCCCGTGGCTCAGCTCCTCTCTCATCGAGGCTCTGCCCAAGTCTGTGAAGCGCATTGCCGTCCTTGAGCAGGTCCACCGCAAGACCACAAAGTGGGGCCCCGTCCTCATCGATGTCCTCACCAGTGTGAAGAGCGGCCCTGGTGGTGTGCAGACCGTTGTCGGCTACCAGCTTGGCTACATTGACCCCAAGACTGTCATCCAGGCTCTTCGTGGCGTCCTGCAGAACCTGACTTCTGAGTCCCCTGTTCAAAACCTCGAGATCGGCCGCAAGGAGGTTCCCCAAGAGGTTCTCGAATACGGTCTTGAGAAGCCCCAGGTCGAGAACTCGTACACCAAGATTCTCGACCAGCTCTTTGGCCAGAGAGCCTACATTGCCAACGCCCTCAAGGCCAGCAATGCCGGCATCAACTCCTCCATCCAGGCCAGCCCCGAGTTTGGCTTCGGTTCCCTCTTGGCCCGCAAGGAGCGTCGCGTGCGTTTCGTCAACGAGGTCAAGGAGGCTGCCAACAGCAACCAGTTCGTGACGGATTCTCCCAAGAGCTGGCTCGCTCGCTGGGCAGCCAACGAGGCCGACTCCAAGAAGGCCAACGAGATCGCCGACGACCTGATCCCCCGCCTTGAGACTGATGGTTCTTCCATTGCCCGTAACCTGCTGTCCAGCAAGCGCCTGTTCCGCAAGGAGTCCTTGTGGCTTGTGGGATCCGATGCCTGGGCCTACGATCTCGGCAACTCTGGTGTGCACCACGTCCTGGCCTCTGGCGAGAACGTCAACATGCTCATCATCGACTCGACCCCCTATTCGGAGCGTGCCGCTGCCGATGCCAACCGTCGCAAGAAGGATATTGGCCTGTACGCCATGAACTTTGGCAACGCCTACGTCGCCTCCACTGCCGTCTACGGCTCCTACACCCAGGTGCTTCAGGCCATGCTCGAGGCCGACCAGCACAACGGTCCCTCCGTCGTCTTGGCCTACCTGCCCTACTTTGGCGAGACCGATTCTCCTCTCACCGTTCTCCAGGAGACCAAGAAGGCGATTGACGTCGGCTACTGGCCTCTGTACCGCTGGAACCCCGCCAACGAGGCCAAGGGCGAGCCCAACTTCACTCTCGACTCTGAGCGCATCAAGAGCGAGCTCAAGGCTTTCTTGGACCGCGACAACCAGCTCACCCAGATCATGCAGCGCGACCCCGTCTTCGCTGCCAACCTGTCGCAGGACTTTGGCTCCGAGGTCCGGGCTCAGCAAAAGCGCAAGGCCAAGGACGCCTACGACCAGCTTCTTGAGGGTCTCTTTGGCGCTCCCTTGACCGTGCTGTACGCCTCTGACAACGGCAACGCTACCAACGTTGCCAAGCGTCTCGGAAACCGCGGCAAGGCTCGTGGTCTTAAGACCAAGGTCTTCGTCATGGAGGACTACCCCCTCGAGGACCTGCCTTCTGAGGAGAACATCATCTTCGTGACCTCGACCGCCGGACAGGGAGAGTTCCCCCAAAACGGTCACGCTCTCTGGAGCGCCCTCAAGGACAACACCGAGCTCGACCTCGCCAACGTCAACTACTCCGTCTTCGGTCTTGGTGATCGTCACTACTGGCCCCGCAAGGAGGACAAGATCTACTACAACAAGCCTGCAAAGGACCTTGACCGTGTTCTGTCCAACCTTGGTGGCAAGAGACTTGCCGACGTCGGTCTTGGTGACGACCAGGATCCTGATGGATACCAGACTGGCTACCAGGAGTGGGAGCCCAAGATCTGGCGCGCCTTGGGCGTCGACAACGTCGATGGTCTTCCCGAGGAGCCGGCTCCCATCACCAACGAGGACATCAAGATTGCCTCCAACTTCCTCCGTGGTACCATTGTCGAGGGTCTCAACGACCCTTCGACTGCCGCCATCTCTGCTGCTGACCAGCAGCTTACCAAGTTCCACGGTACCTACATGCAGGATGACCGTGACGTCAGAGATGAGCGCAAGGCCATGGGCTTGGAGCCCGCCTACTCCTTCATGATCCGTTGCCGTCTGCCCGGTGGTATTTCTACCCCCTTGCAGTGGGTGCAGATGGACGACATCGCCAACGAGCTCGGTAACGAGACCATGAAGCTCACCACCCGTCAGACCTTCCAGTTCCACGGTGTCGTCAAGGGTAAGCTTAGACCCGCCATGCAGGCCATCAACAGAGCGCTCATGACCACCATTGCCGCTTGCGGTGATGTCAACCGTAACGTCATGTGCAGTTCTCTGCCTACTCAGTCCAAGTACCACAGGGAGGTCTGGGCCAGCTCCAAGAAGATCAGCGACCACCTGCTGCCTTCGACCACCGCCTACCACGAGATCTGGCTCGCCGACGAGAACGACACCAAGACCCAAATCGCCGGTGACGCGGTACAGGACTTTGAGCCTCTGTACGGACCTACCTACCTGCCCAGAAAGTTCAAGATCACCATCGCCATCCCTCCCCACAACGACACCGACGTCTACGCCCACGACATTGGTCTCATTGCCATTAAGGGCAAGGATGGTAACCTCGAGGGTTTCAACCTCATTGCCGGTGGTGGTATGGGTGCCACGCATAACAACAAGAAGACGTACCCGCAGATTGGTCGCATGTTCGGCTTCGTCAAGACGGACCAGGTCCACATTGCTTGCGAGAAGATCATGCTCGTCCAGCGCGACCACGGCGACCGCAAGAACCGCAAGCATGCCCGTCTCAAGTACACCATTGACGACATGGGCGTCGACGTCTTCCGCGGCAAGGTCGAGGAGCTCTGGGGACAGAAGTTCGAGAAGGAGAAGCCCTTTGAGTTCAAGTCCAACGTTGACACGTTCGGCTGGCAAAAGGACGAGACGGGACTCAACCACTTTACCTTCTTCATTGAGAACGGTCGCATCGAGGATACTCCCGAGTTCCAGATGAAGACTGGTCTCCGTGAGATTGCCAAGGTGCACAAGGGCGAGTTCCGCCTCACGGGTAACCAGCACTTGATTCTCAGCAACGTCGCCGACGAGGACCTCGACTCCATCAAGGACCTCATGAAGAAGTACAAGCTCGACAACGTCCACTTCTCCGGCATGCGCCTCAGCTCGTCGGCCTGTGTCGCCTTCCCCACTTGCGGTCTCGCCATGGCCGAGTCGGAGCGCTACCTGCCTGTACTGATCACCAAGCTCGAGGACTGCCTCGAGGAGAACGGTCTGCGCCAGGATTCCATCGTCATGCGCATGACAGGTTGCCCCAACGGTTGCGCGCGTCCCTGGCTCGCCGAGGTTGCCTTTGTCGGAAAGGCGTACGGCGCGTACAACATGTACCTCGGCGGTGGATACCACGGCCAGAGACTGAACAAGCTGTACCGCCAGAGCATCAAGGAGGACGAGATCTTGGCCATCATGAAGCCGCTGCTCAAGAGATACGCGACTGAGAGGGAGACTGGCGAGAGATTCGGTGACTTCTGCATTCGCGTTGGTGTTATCAAGGGCACCAAGGAGGGTCGGGATTTCCACGAGGGGGTAAGTCGAGATTCCTAGCTCTCTATTGACACTTTGAGTTGTGATGACTAACAATAATGATAGGTTCCCGAGGAAGAGTCTGATGAGGAATAAGTCTGTCCAATACTCTCGAGTGCTGACGGTTTTACGACGAGATCTGATGTTCGGTGCGAGGATGAGGATTTGAATTTGAGATTTACAAAATCATGGGATTTGCACAAAAAGAGATGAAAAAAGTTGGAAATCCTTTGTAAAATGTACATGGTCTTATATCCGCTTTAGCAGCTTTCAAGCATCACGGGGGCCAGGCGTTGCGTTGCTATTTCTTCTACATTATATCATTTATGAAATTATATTTCAAACTCTTTTCCAAGCAGGTTGAATGGTTGTCTCTTTCACATATGTCTGTCTGTCTGTGTTTTCAATGTATGTTACCGTAATTGAGTGCAAGCTAAACTCGAAGACTTGAGATGGCGTAACAAGTCATCAGGTACATCACTATGCAAGGTACAATTCTTTGAACAATCATGTGAAATTATCTAGAGACCGTCTACGTATCTCTTTTTGTGACTTGTTTTTCTCTTCTGTCTGTGTTCAGTAACTTCTACACCTATGCATCCATCTCTCGCAAGATTTGCACTTCAGCACCTCGTACTCCGGCAGGGTATGCTAACAAAAGAGAAAGAAAATCAAATCATTCTTTGCACCAAAAAACGCATCAATGCTTTCTAGTAGCTCATCAAATCTGTAAAACCACGTTGTTAGTTATCAAACGCTTCAAGTCAAGTAGTCGAAGAGTGACAGTAAGAACATACCTCTTCCAAAGAGACCGCGCTTAGCCCAATCCATGGCAAGCAGGATCCGCGTCCTCAAGCTCACGCTCTGCGCAAAGTAGACGGACCGCCACATATACACAGCCCACAGGCCACCCGCGAAATTCCACCCCTGGCCCCAGTCGAAGACGGCCGAGTTGCCAATGTACGCGAGACTACCGAGGTGGCGGTACTCGAACGCCTTGTAGACCACCGAGTCGATATCGCCGTCGAGCACCATGTTGGCCTTCAGCCCGTCCGACGTGCGCGCCATCTTGTTGAACTTGTGCGCGAGGTACTGGCCCTGCTGGTGGGCGCGCTGCGCCGTGGCGGGGAGGGAGGTGAGCTTGGAGTCGATCTGCTTGAGGAGCTCCCTGAGCTCGCCGAAGCCGAGGGTGCCGGACTGGTCCTTGTCGAACTGCTCAAAGAGCTTGTCGAGGCGCTTGAGGTGGCCGACGGCCTGGGGGAAGCGGCGCTTCACGTCGTTGGCGACCTCGCACCAGTCGCTGAAGTGGAGCTCGAGGGTCTCGGGGTCCTTGCCGTGCTTGAAGGCGAGGCCGCGGCAGAAGGTGATGATGTGGTCGGCCACGTTGTTCTGTACTGTCGAGCAGTCGCCGATGGCGTAGACGTCGCCGAGGGGGGTTCCGTTTAGGCGGAGGTGGGTGTCCGTCTCGAGGGCGTGGCGATTCGTCTGCGAGGGGCCGAGCTTGGAGGAGAGGCGCTTGCAGAGGTCGGCTTGGGCGACGCCCGTTGACCAGAGGCAGAAGCCCATGGGGAGTTCCTTGGTCAGGAGGGATCCATCGGGTTGCTTTTGGGTGAAGGTGATCTTGTCCGGGTGGACCTCCTTGACGCGGGAGTTTGTGAGAATGTCAACCTGGTCGCGGGCGAAGTGCTCCTCCGCGTACTTGGAGAGGGTCTCGTCGTAGGTGTTGAGGATGTGGCTGCGGCTCTGAATCAGGTGGACGGAGATCTCGTTGCGGAGGAGCTTGGGGAAGTGAAGCGTCAGGTCCTCGTTGAGCATGTCAAACAGCTCGGCGGCGAACTCGACACCCGTGGGACCGCCGCCGCTGACGACGAAGGACAAGAGGCGCTTGCGCTCCTCGTCGGCGGTCGTCGGCAGGCAGGCTTGCTCGAGGTTGTGCATGACTTGGTTTCTAACCTTGCGCGCATCGCTGATATCCTTGAGGAAATGGGCGTTCTCCAGCCCCTTTACGCCGTGAGGGTTCGTGGTAGATCCAACGGCGATGACCAGCTTATCGTAGGGGACATAGAATCGTGTTTCGTTACCAAAGGCGTCGGGTTGAGAGCACTCAATCAGCTTGTGGGAGAACTCGACGTCCTCGGCCTTGGCGCGAATGAAGTGACCGTGAACGCGGGCGAGGATTCGGCGGACGGGTTCGACCAGTGATCTCAGTTCCAGGGTTCCAACAGTGGCAGAAGGCAGCATGGGCGTGAACAGGAAGTAGTTTGTCGGGGAAACAACGGTAACGTGGTATTCATCGGGGTTGAGCTCCTTGAGCAGAGCCACTCCGCCCCATCCGCCGCCGAGAATAACAAGCTTGGGCTTCTCCTTTGCGCTCTTCATTTGTTCGTTGTCCAGGTCGTCAATCAGCACCTCGGCGATGGGCAGGTTCTTTGGACCGCCTCGTTTGGGGCTCAGTGCCAGCTCAGATACCTCGATCTCGTTCTGGTCCGGGTGTTCCTTGTAAGTGGAGGCATCGTAGATGAAGAAGCCAACCACGCCGAGGCCGACAAAGATGATGCCGCCGCCGAGCCATGCGGCGCTGGCGTACGCGAAGCGGAGGAGCCGTGACCTTTGTTTCGGGGTAGGAGTCGGCGTCGGCGCGCCAGAGACGGATCGGATGGCGGTGCCTTTGGGCAGACCATGGGCGTTGAAGAAGGAGTTGGCGAGGGGCGTAGTAGGAGGTGTTGTCCGGGATCGCTGGGGAGGAGGGCTAATAAAGGCGCGCCTTTGCGCGAGGGCGGCGACCTGTTGCCTGCATATCGGCGTAGGTTTGAACAAGCTGATGGGTGATGTGTGAGAAACGGCGCGAGGTATGCGCCTCAACGCGGATGTGGTGGGAGGCATTTAATTATCGCAGATTAGTCTGGTGTTTTTTCGTCTGACGTCGTGATAGAGTAAATGTAGATCTAGCAGTATGGAGATGTCATGTCGAAACGAGTGAATGGGAGCAAGCAGAGAGCTCTAGAGATGTGTCGCGATGTATCAATTGCAAACAAGCAGCAAGAGACAGAGGTAACCAGAGAGAGTTCAGGTTGTTGGATTTTTTCCAAGGAGAAAATCAAGGTCGTAATGGTTACGAAAGTGAAAAGGTTCCTAGGGGCTGGCGGGCATAGCTCCCTGGACGTCTGCGTAATGATGCTTGTACTAAGGTACTGTTCGCGCCAGAACCGTCAAATCCGAGGAAGCTAAGGTACCTTACGCCGCACTACGTAGCTACGTAGACGGGAGAACGTACCTTGTGCCGACAGCTCCAGCAAGTACGTCATTGTTCGGTTAAGCCGAAGGTTGCCTCCCATGCAATTACACCAGATAGGCCAGAATATTCTCCAAGGTGCCTTGCCCTACTTGTCTACGGATATTACTGACTACTATCCTTATGGATGAGTCCTCTGATGCATCAGGCGAACAAGTAAAGAAGAAAATTCTTTACCGAAAGAAGAGCAGAATCCGACCGCATATCGCCGTCACCGACAACGAATCTCGGACTTTCGTCCCAACACCTCAGTTCCGTTGTCGGCGCCGCGATCTCACGGTCGTCCGAGCTGATAAGATCCTTCTAAAGAGGACCAACTAGAAAAAAAAGGGTCCTTTCTCGGCCTGAAATCTGAATACTCGTCTAGCGAGAAACTGTGATCTCAGTCAGCGGCGTCCAAATGCCCCCTGCCGCGGGAGCCGTACGTCTCCACCGCCATGTCCACTCCTCGGTGTCTCGTTCGGCCAATTTGTAGCCGCATTGGGAGCCAATGACGAGAATCGTAGCCGTGAATCCGGGATCCGTCCAGAAGTGCCAGAGTGCGAACAAGGCGAAGCCGCGAGAGACATATATGCGAGGCAATGGATCTTGCAGGCCGTCTGGCAGGCGAATCTGCGGCCTTTTCCAGAGGGACGGGTTCCAGCCCTTGAGGACCCTCAAGTCTCATGAATCAAGCAGCCTTACTCCATGGCATTACGATGCACTTTTGCAATAGGATCTTTTCTGTTGCCACTTGAGCACTCATCGATTTTGCTACAGCGACAGGCTCGGCGCAACTCGGCCGGGTTATACAAGTATATATATGCCTACGGCTAGCATCGGAAGTACTTCTTCTCAACCCAGCGGTCCTCAATATCTGCAAGCATGTTGCATAGAACAATGGTGATACCAGGAAACACCTTTGCAAGACGGTGTACACCCAGTCTTCCGGCAGCATAGCACGCCAGCACAATCTTGTCCTGGGCAACGCCGTGGTCTACGAGGACTTGGACAGCCATCAGCGCGGCACCTCCGCTGGCCATCTGTGTGTCGATCAACAAGACCGACTCGTGAGAGTCAATGTTGTCCGGGAGCTTGAGATAATGCAGCTCGGGCTCTCCCGTCCGCACGTTGGACTGGATCAGAATTCTGCCTGTCCGCATGTCGGGGACGACCCTCTTCAAGGCCGTCTCAAAGGCGGCACCGCCACGAAGGACAAGCACCGCACTGACATCGCCCGTAGCTTGGAGTCCGTTGTACTTGTAACCTTGGGGCGTGGCAATGGTCTTTTCTCTGAATTGCACATTGTTGAGTGCCCTATGGTTGTTAGCTCGTCATTCAAACTTTCACCCAGCAGGCAATCTACTCACTGCTCAATCAGAAGACACGCGAGGCGGTCAAAGTAGAATATAAAGTCTTCCGCAGAGGTGTCGATATCCTGAATAATGGTGCTCATGCCTCTCAGTTGCGGTGACTGGTCGAGAATCACGACTCTGTCAGACAGAGGATCACTGGCAGCAGCCAACTCCAACTGCGTGAGTGCTGCCCGGTGGTGGGTTGACTTTTCGATCAACTTGCGCTCAATGTACTGAACAACCATGGCTAGACTAGGTATTAGTTATGAAGCTGCACGGACATGATGATATGCTTACCCATAGCTACGCGATTCTCGATACCTCTCGGCACGATGATGTCTACTTGCGGTCAGTCTCTACGAAGCATCTGAAGCGGCTCGGCTAGTTTACCTGCGACTTTGCGCTGTGGCTCGACGAACTGGACACAGACATGTTAGGAAAGTCCAATACGATTTGGTGATGGAGCTCTTTACTTTTTCAAAGTTTGGTTTCACAAACTTGAACCACTGCTTCATGATGCCATCTACGTCACGGCCACGCTCCTTGACGTCTCTCAACACTTTACGTTGCAAGGTCAGCCGTGTGCCAGTTACTTCACGTCCCAGGCTGCCTGCGACTTACCTCTGCGTGACAAACACGTATCGGCATCCGCCTCGCAGAATATCTAAGCCACAGTCAAGAGTTGATCATAGTTTGATTTGATGGGATTGAAATACCCTCATATCCAGAAGATCAATAATGCGGGGGTCATGGAGGGCAAAGATTCCTTCCAGGATGATGACGTGAGGTGAGTAGATGGTTGTGGTGTTGTCCAGCCTTTGATGCTTAGAGAAGGAGTAAATGGGAATTTCAGCCCGTTTTCTAAGACCAATTATTATCATGAAATTAAACATTGACGTCTGACATGTTGGCCTTCAGACTAGAAGAAGAGTCTCATGAAGCAAATTGGAAAGCGAAGATGTTACAAGACTTACCCAGCCTTCAGATCGCGCAAGCATTGCACAAGTACATTAAAGTCAATTGCCTGACTTTGGTCAACATGCATGCTAGCGGCACGAGGGCGCAAGTCTTACATCTGGCGCGTCAAAGTCAAAGTCATTGTCAAAAGCCCTCTTTGACTCCTCGGGACTCAGGGGATTGTAGAAAGAGTCCTATATTCGGATCGAGTCAGGGGAGGGGCCATCGTCGCAAGCCGCCGGTTGGCGGGGTAAATGCACACATACCATGGACAAAATCACCACCCAGGGCAGATTCAGCTTCCTCACAATGGCGTGCGACAGAGTCGACTTTCCAGAGCCGGAACTGCCAGCAATGCCAATGATGCTGACATCTGCCCACGGTGGTGAGTAGTGAGTCCGCCGCTGGATCGTCACATGAGACTCGGTGCCGCTGTGGTTGTCTGCCATTATTTGAGCTGAGAGGCGGAGGTCGCCGACGTCGATGCGCGGGGCAGGCTGGTGGTGGTTTATCGGGTAGCTACAGCTTTGTCCTCGGATTCTGCAGCGAAGTGAGAGATAGACAGGCGGACGGAATAACCAACGACGTGAGGAACAAAGACTGCAGGTGTCGACGGCTTTGATGTTTGCTCCCTTCGCAATGGAAGGGGGGAAGAAGCAAAGATGAAGTCTGAGGATATAAAAAATGAAAACACTGGCTAAAAGGCGACCTCCAGGGTCCAGTCCCCAAAGATAAGCGCTGAGGGGGATGTATGCTTGCTTGACTTTGACAACCTAAGCCCGGTGGATGGTGGAGCTGGCCGGGCTACCTAGATCTGATGTTGAAGGTAACCGAATGGAAGGTACCTGCCACAAAGCTTGCTGATCAGACGGGAGCCACGAGAGGGGAAGTTGTCTTTTGCTGTTTCTATAGGGAAGGTGGGTTGTACATCTTGGAGATGTTAGAGACAAGTTCAAACAGCCTGATCAAAAGAGAGAGGCTGTGCTCGCGTGCTATCTTTCCTCAAAGCATCAAGTCTGGTTCTCCAACGGAACATCTCGTGTACTGTACCTAGAAGTGAACGATCCAATAGCGGGCTGGGCTCACACAGGTGGGCGGAAAATACACAGGGTCCAGATGACCGCAGCTGTGCCTACGCAGGACAGCAGCCCGCAGGCACGATGCGTCGTTGCGGTTGCTCAAGTGCTTGCTGTGGTACTCTGTACACCTCAGCTGAGGGCAGTGCGGTATTAGCTCTGGTACCTGCCTCTCTTGTGCTTGCGGTGGGTCGCGCCCTGTGCTTTTTGCCCTGTTCAACCCCAGTTGTGGCCCCCCAGGCTGCCTGGCTGCTCTCAGCGCCTTACCTGCCTTACCTTGAAAGTAAGGTACCTTGCCTTAGGTAAAGAGGGCATGTGCTCGGATTACCTAATTATGGCTGCCCCACGCCAGGTGGTCCGGCTGATCCTGCGATTGGCCCTCTGCAGCCGCAAACTCTGGAACCGAATAAAGCTCCGCTCCAGCCTCTTTCTCTTTGTTCTGACGTTTCTTCCTTCTTCCACATCCAATCCCATTTCTTCCTCAGCATCTTTTCTTTCAAAGACCTCCTTCGCACAACAAAACAAACGGGAGCTCGACTGGCCACTCAAATGTGACGACGGCCCAGCCCAGAGCCTGTCTGATCCTGCCTTGCTTTCCCTGCATTTGCGCACTTCCCATCGCATGTCAGGACTGCCGGACATCAACGACCCAACAGCCATAGCAGTCTGGAATAGAGCTGCTGCGCGTCTCGTGCGGGAGACGTTGGAGAGAATCATGGTCCGTTGAGCTCCCCGTGTGCCAGTGTGCCAGTGTATACATCCATGCTGGCCACGCCGTTTTGGTTGTCGTTGGCAGCTAGCTAAGATGTCATCCAGACTTCGTCTGCGTCGACTGCTACACCCATGAAGCATGCCTTCGAGAGGCGTGTTCAGGACGTCAAGTCGCCCAAAAGGTAAGCCTTTCTCTCTTCTCATCTTCTTCCGCGTCTTAGCCCGGCGCTAGCTCCGAGGCTACGTCTGACGCTTCCCCTCCCCCCTCCCAGCTCACATGATGATCAACTATCAAATGGGAATCTCTCCTAGCAATTACCATGCGGAGAACTCGATATAAAATAACCCTGACACTTTTGCTGTTTTGCACATTTTTACGTGGTTCGAACTACAGCCAAGAGGACATCTGTGCTAACATGGACTCTCAGCGACATCAACGCCCTGATCCTCGATTACTTGACGATGGAAGGTTACCCTAACGCTGCCGCAAAATTCAGCAAGGAAGCCAACCTCCAACCCCACCAAGTCGACGAGACGATCAAGGTCCGCCAGCAGATCCAAAAGTCCATCCACACTGGAAGCATTCAGTACGCCATCGAGGCCCTGAATGACTTTGACTCAGAGGTTAGTTGTTTACTCTTCGCAACATTACACCCCAATCGCAGTGATTAGACATCGAGTTATCATGCACCACTCATAGCACCTTCGGGACACTTTGATGAGGAACAACCACTTTTTGATGAGCTTTCGCCTTATACACTACTTGTCGGCATGTTTCTGCTTTGTACACATGTTCTAACAAGTCGTCTAGATCCTGGACCGCGATCCAACGTTGCACTTTGCGCTGCTTCGCCTCCAACTTGTGGAGCTCATTCGGGCGTGCACAAACACACCTGGCGGGGATATCACTCCTGCCTTGTCATTCGCCACGAACCATCTTGGACCGCGTGCACCGACCGACTCGCGCTTCCTCAAAGACCTGGAAGAGACGATGGCGCTGTTAGTGTTCCCGCACAACGATCTCGAGCCGCAGTTGGCAGCCATCTTGCATCCAGACCTGAGACGGGATGTTGCAGATGATGTCAACAAGGCCATCTTGCAGCGTCAGTCGGAGCGCAGGGAAGCCGCGATCCGACAGCTGGTCAAGATGAGGGCTTGGGCTGAGTCTGCTGCGAGAGCGGAGAAGAAGCCCCTCCCTGAGAGAATCGGTCTCGGCTTAAACGGAGACGAGAGCGATGGCCACGACCCAATGATGCTCTCGTAGAGCAACAGTCTTGAGGACTACAACAGCGACAAGGAGAATCGTGACCTTCTTCAAGAGGGTCCGTTGAATGAGGGCCATGGGCGAGAAACAAACGATCTTGATCGGTATCTCCTTTACAGACCGATTACCTCCCAGGTCGAGGAATAGAATCGCATCCTGGGGGCGGAGAGTTATCACGATGGCGTAGCCCATGTCGCTGACGACGCTAAAGACCGCCGTTTGGTTGAGTTGATCATGGAATATTATGAAGAGGAACATGATGGCTAGAAAATAGCGCATGGAGTTAAAGAGCAAGCAGGGTTTGACTTGGGGATACGGGCCAGGATTGGCTAATCTTGGAGGCGTTACACCATTCGGTTACGACTGAATGAAATTATGGTACATACATCTTTAATGGTTCACGACATCGGGTCAACAGATGACCGATAAAGGAATAGAAGCCATCATGGCAATTGCGAACTCTACACTATACCCTCTTTTGAAATATTCTGTGAGAAAATGGCCTGTCATGTCTGGCCTCTCTGTGACTATCGGTAACCCATTTTACCTACCTACGCGGTAGCTTCTAACCGTGCCGCAAGATAGGTAGATAGCATGGAGGCTCATGATATGAGTGGAGACTTTCGAGCCAATCACAATTGGAGAAAGTCCGATTACAGCTCAGCATACTGAGTTTCCCGTATGTTCATCGAGGAACCCAGCTTCAATATCAAAGTCACGTTGAATTCCGATAATGTTTCAAATTTTTATTACTTTCTTTACCAAACCCCCTCTCCTCACCAGGTTACAGGTCTACCATGGGGGTACAAACGGTCTTTGGAAAGTCTTATATACAAGTGATACTCCGTACAAAAATATCGCTCCCACTCTGTCTTGGCTCTCCCCTCTATTTGGTCCGAATGTGCTTAAGCTTCTTGGGCGAGTACAAAAAGTTGTTGGCGTACGCCTTGGGCTTGATCCGCCTCGACTGCGGCTCCTGGACAAAGTACTCGTACCCTTGCTTCTCGGCGAAGTGGATGGCGTCCTCCTTGGACTTGAAGTTGAGCTTGGTGCCCTGCATCATGTCGGCCGACGACTGCCAGCCCATGAGGGGGTTCTCCCAGCGGTGGCCCTTGGGGAGGATGTCCCAGTCCATGCGCCAGTGGTGGCCCTGCCAGTTGCCTGATTGCGTTGCGGGCTTGGATTCCTGGTAGATGCTGTGAGGGTTTCCGTCGTTAGCTTTTGCGATCTTCTTCTTTCTTTCTCCGTCGTCTGGGATAAAGGCTATGCGTACCGGACTGTGCGAGCCTGGAGCTCCATGGGGGCACCGGAGATGACGGCGGCTTGGATGAAGGGGACGTCTTCGCTGCCGTTTTGGAGCTTCTTGGGCGTCGGGGTGAAGGTACTGCAAGAACACAACCCAATTAGCACTTGTCCCGTTCACCCGACTCAATGCAAATCATGCGGCAATTCTTCGGATGCTCCTCACGAGGTGGCCTTGTCGGCGGCGATGCTGTAGTCGGGCTCGTTCTGCTCGGTCGAGGGGGCCACGGCGGCGGGCTGCTGTGTCGTGGTGCCGGTCGTGAGCTGGCTCTCGAATCGGCGAGCGGTTACGGGCGCGGAGACGGAAGCCCGGAAGGGAGCGGCGCTCCGCAGCAGGCGGGCTGCGTTGTAGGCGCGGAGGGATGCCATTGCGACGTGTGGGGGATGGGTGTTGGCTTCCCTTCAATTGTCGTCGTGGGACGAATTGGGTAGGTCTGGGAATGCGATAATGGTGGTGGTGGTTGATGGTACGGCACTGGACAAGGCGGAAGGGCCTTGCCTTGCTTGGGGGGTGTCCCGGATTGGAGCGCGCTGATTGGTCGCCGCAAGAACCTTGACCCGAAAGAAACGAGTGCTTTTCGTTCAAACCTCACTTTCGGCAAACGGAGCGTCACCCTCGTCTGTCACAGCCATCAGCCTTCCTCCCCTCCACGTCGAAATCGATAAAGTCAATTGATCCGCTCAATTGACCGTTTGCGCCGAGCGATCCTTCCGATTCTTCGATACCCCAAAGTCACCATGAGCTTCGTCCCCCGCCGCGGTCTCTCGACCCTCATCCCCCCCAAGGTGCGATTTGATCCCTCTGTCCGACCGACGACCGGCAGCTCTGCTATTGAACCCGGAGAAGTATACTGACATTGGTGCACACAGGTCGCCTCTCCCAAGGTACGATTATAATCCCGACTCACGTTTTTTTTTTTTTTTTTCTTTGATGGATGCGAGGTTTGGATGGGAAAGGTTACCCGGCGAATTCGGAGGTTCGGGCGCGGGATACGGAGGAGCGACAAGGACGGAGCTACTCGGAGCTATGGATTTTCTCGATAACAACATCAACAACGAGAAGCAATACGGATCACAGAAAAACAGGGCTAACATGACAAACTCGAACAGGCCCTTGGCGCGGACCCTAACGCCGTTCGCATGCAGCGCGTTGTCAACTTCTACGAGAAGCTCCCCCGTGGTGCCGCACCCGAGGCTAAGCCCACTGGCATCCTCGGCCGTTACGCCGCCAAGCACTTCAGCGGCAAGAACGCCTCTGCGAAGCGTATGTTGCCTCTCTTGCGAACGAAGGTCTGGCATGGGACAGGAGACTGACTGTTGTTGTATAGCCATCATCCACGCCCTTGGCCTCCTCCTCGTCATTGGCTACGCTCAGAACTACTACTTCCACCTCCGTACGTCAAACCCCCTTGAACATAGCAGTTCGGATGAAGTTCCAGAAAGACGAATAAGACGGACAAGACGGACAACAGTTTGGCGATATTTTGCTAACGATTGACAGGCCACCACAAGAACAATGCTCACTAAGCGACTCCCATCTGGTTGTAGTCCAGCCTCTGGCTGTGTAATGGCATTGGGACCGTGTATATAAGAATTAGAACCTATTCTCCAGGAGGAGGCTCCTCGGCAATTTCCTTTTTCGTGTCCAGCGTGTATTCCTCCCTCGAATGTGAAATGGACAGAAAGAAAAGCGCGGTCTGATGAAAAGACATGAACAAAAAGAGGATGGCCTGGGATGTTTTCGTTCTCGGTCTTTTGTAGAGCCGCTGACAAGTCGAGCCGAGGGTTTGTTTCAGCTAGTCTAAAGATTAACTGAGTGGTATTGCGTAATGCTCATCCGGCTCAAACTTCCCAGGAAACCCGATGTGATGTGATGTATACAGTCAGGAAGAGAAGAAACGGGCGGCAGTGATCAGTAATGAATGAATATGAGGCCACCATTGAGTTTGGTTTACCAGGTGCTGTCTGCCTTACGATTATTGAGGTAATTCAAAGTCGGTCTCAAAGCAACGACAGTACTATTAGTTTCAATGGATTTAACACAGACGGATAAAACAACTGTCAGTCAGAGAAGTGCGTCCATGAATGCTCAGACGGAGAGGCGCTCATCAATGCACTGGCACACTGGCACACTGGATCCAAGAATAGCCCCGTTGGGATGTCGGGGGATCCCGCGTTGTTTCCTCTCGCCAGCGCTGCTTTCCCCAGCCCGCAAAGCCAGCGCTTTCCGCACTAGGCCGAGCTGAGCCATGACCAAAACACAGTGTTGGGAGGCCACAGTGCACGAGGCTGACACACTGTCACAGCCTTCTTGGGCACCCAGTGACCACGTCGGCGAGCAGGTACCCATCGCGTCCCCACTGTTTTCCCTCACCTTACCTGCCTCTCTCCCCTCACAGTAAGCACTGGAAGCACCACTACAGTGACTGGACAGGTGGACAGCACACAGCGCTGGAGACACTGAGCAACTTTGGCTGCTCCCCCTACCCGCTGCCGCACGCTAATCCCTGATTAGGCGACTGCAGCTTCTCTAAGGAAAATCGACCTCACAACCATCACAGCCGCATAGGTGTGCCCTTCTCTACCACCACCTCACCCCCATCAGCCCAGCGCTCCTTTTTTTTTCCTCTTTTCACTTCCAACCCTCCCCTTCGGACGCTGTACCTCGACGACGCCGACGACGAAGCCGACGACGTACGTCTTGCTGGTAGGGGAACTATCCGAATCCGCGACTCCCACGATCGCATTCGCCCCGCGATTCGAATACACGAAACCGCTCGATTTCTGCGACTCGTCGCTCCCCCCGGTCCATACATACCTACCTAGTAACTCCATCACCAAATCCGACCAACCACCAACCACCACCACCACCACCATCTCGGCCTTCAACTATCTTACACACCCACACTCCCAGGACAAGTCCTTCTAGTGACTCGAGCTCGGAACAGCCAAACCTCGCTCTTCCAGCGCAGAACATCCGACGACGTATGATGGCAACTGAAGCCACCCTCGCCGCCCCCGTTGATGCTTCTGTCCATTCTGACCCCAAGCTCGTGAGTTCCCTCTTTTCCCCTCCTTCCCAGCAGCCCCAGCCTCACACCGCTGGCGCCCTGCCCCATCGCCGGATGATCTCCGCGTCCCCTCTTCACTCGACTTCATTCGTCATTCTACCCTATGCGAAAACTCACCCTGTCACTCTGTCGCTTGCCATTTGGCTAACCTAGGATCCTTTCGGAACCCTCCGCCGAACAGACTAACGACGCTGATATCGACTCCCAAAATGTCGGTCCAAATCGCGCGAAACTGAACGGTAGTCCCGCCGTCGATGACTTAGAAAATAAGCACATCACCGGTGTCGAAGATCAACTCAATTCAGCAGATGTTAGTGTTAGTGGAGGGTCGGATACGGAGGCATCGCGGGCGGCTCGAGATGGAGAAAAGGGACACGGCAGGACGTCGTCGACCGTCAAGAAGCCCGCAACCTTCAAGGCTGTCTCGGTCAACAAGACCTTCCTCGCATCAAAGGGCCCTACCATTTCCTCGGCGACCAAACCCGGCGAAAAGACGAATTCGACCTCGATCCTGAGCTCCTCGCCATCAGGAACCTCGACTCTGTCTTCACGACCGAGACTAGTCGCAAAGTCGGGCACTGGCACAGGTTCTTCACCGGGACTCAAAGCGGCTGCCAACGGCGCCAAGCCTGCCGCCGGCCCTGACCCCAGCGCAGTATGGAACAAGAATCGACGTAAGGCGACTACTAGGTCTTTGAGGTGGTTGCGGTCATGTGCTAATATAACGAACCTCAGCTGTCCCTACCCCGGAACCTAAAAAGCTTACGGACGAAGAACTTAAGAAGTATGGCATCCATATGGCAAGCCGTCTTGCCCCCGAAAGCGGACAGTCGGCACAGGGAAATTGGGCAGATATAGAAGACGACGACGACGACTGGGCGCCCGAGACCATCACTTGGACTGATGGTACCAAGACCACCCTCCCGCATCCCGACGAAGTACCTGCGCCGCCGCCGCCCGAGCCGACTCCTGCGCCACCGAAAGAGAAGGTTATTGAAAACCCGAAATCTCCTGTACCACCGCCTCGAACCACTGCTTCGCCCTCGATTAAGACTGGCGGGCTTGCATCTGGCAAAGGGCTCATCCTCAAGGCTGGGTCTGCCGAAAAGCCCACGCTTGTCGCCAAACCACCTGCGCCTCCGACGCCAGTGAAATCGCCCTGGGCACCTCTGCCTCCCGTAGAGAAGGCTCCTCCGCCAGTCATCGCCGAGCCGCCTGCTGCTCAGCAAGGCGCGAGATACCCTCCGAGAGACCACGCGACTAATAATAACGTTCCGCCCTACCATGCCAAGGAGATTGCTGCTGATGACTTCAATCGATCAGCTTGGAGAGAAGGCGGTCCTCCAGGCGGTAACCGAGAATTGTTCAACTCGCAATCTGGGCGTTATGAGCCGGTACCGGCCGATCGAAGAGGCTCCTTCCGATCTGACGTCCATCCTAGGCAACCGGCAGTGTTACAACGCCCGTCCCAGTCCGATCATCCGGAGCCCTCTGCCGCTTTCCAAACGAGCAGAAACTCTGTGCCCGACGGTCCCATGGGTAGGCGCCGTGGATCTTCTGTTGCTAGCGGTGGTAGCGGATCCTACTTGCAACGGCCAGGCAAGGGACATGAGCTTCCGGGTCCTCCCCAGGACTTGCTGAGTGCTCGGAGAGGCTCTATGGCTGGCTCGGTTGAAAGTCCCATGTCCCCGCGGAACTTTTCGCCTTCGGGCTTACAACATGGTCCACGGATGCACGGCAATCAGCAGTGGCAACCCCGACCATCCCCCGGGACCAACCATGCCACCCTACACTCAGCTGGCCCTCAGACAGACGGAAGACCAGCCCCACCGCCACCGATGGCGCGATTGGAGGAGGATCTTGAGATGCAGAAGAAGGTCATGCGTGAGAAACGCGAGTTGGCAATGCAGAGGCGACGCGAAGAGGAGGCTCGTGAGGAAGCTGCGAGAAAAGCGCGCATCGCGGCGAAGTTGGAAGCCATGGGGCCAGCCCCAGAACGCAAAAGTGACAAGAAGGAGGCTTCGCCAGAGAGTTCCAACGCGGCCCCAGCACAGGCACAATCTCGACAAGACGGTTCTACTGCCCAGGAAGCCGGTTCAAAGCCGCCTGCCGCGGGCTCCGATACATCGGTCGTCCCGTCAACTCCCGCCAACGCCAACGACAAGCCTTACGGCGAAAGACCCGTCACCGCAGGCGGAGAGCATGCAAGACGACCAAGTGGCTCGGAGGCAAGGCCGCCCAACTCATGGGTTGCACCTACGCCTCAACAAGAGCGGCTTCCGACTTGGGGCGCGGCTGCGGCTGGCCCTCAGGCTCCTCGTAACGTCTGGGGATCGCCTAACAATGATCGCGGACTGGGCAACGGCACCTTTAATACTGACTTGGGCCGTTTGCCAGAGCCTCAAGCAGCAGGAAAGGGTCCAGCACCCATCGCACCACCCAGCGCGCAGCGAGCGCAGGTCCAGATTCCACCGGTCACCCAGGCTCGTCCCACTACGGGTAATGCTCGCGAAGTGAATGAGATGAGAAATAGATGGGCTCACTCGGTTCTGGAAGGCGACAAGATAGTACTCGACGAGAAGAGATCGCAGCGCCTCGAGCGTGATCGGAGTCTGGTGGAGCGCGGGCTCACTATTGAACAGGCCCAAGCCACGATTAAAGATACTTGGCGCCCATCCGGAGATGGAAGACGCGATCCTGCACACGTTATTCACCACGATGTTCGCGCTGCTGGGTCTGTCGACCACTCATCTGTGCTACCTCCTACAGGACCATCGGCCGCCACTCAATCTCGAAGCTCCTCTAGATTCTTCCCTCCTAGGGACAACAGACATGATTCCACAGCTTCGCATGCGGAACCATCGAGGCCTAACTCACCTTCCCCGCCGCCCCCGGATATGCTCGGCCACCCGGCCTTCGATGGAGACGCCATGCACCCTCACGTATCTCTCCCCCGACCGCATCCCGTTGTGAAGTTACCACCTTCAGCTGCGGCGGCGCAGTCAGCGGCACCCAGATCTACTGGGCCATTTGCTTGGGCAACGCCAGCCGGTTATAAGGATGGTCCAGGAACTCATGGCCGCGGACCTTACCAGCAGAACCACGTGTCCCAGCGGTCGCAAGATTCAGCAGGAAACGAGAATTGGCAAGATAGGATCAACAACCTACTCACGGGACGAAAGCCAAACTCTCCACCAAAGGCACCTGGTGTCGAGCCTGTCACTAAAAGTGCTCTCGACTATTCCGGTCACTACAATCCGGCTACCGTCTCTCTACCTCGCTCAGCCACCCAGAACTTATCAGACGATGTGAAGTCTTTCACTACAAAGCCACCGGCAGAGGAATGCTTCGAGGAACAGGAAATGGGGTCGCTTCCTCGCATTCATCTGCCCCATAAGACTCCGGAGGCTGCTTGGCAACCTGCTGCCGCCCCTATTAAGCCTCTGCCGAGGCGTTTCTGGGTTTCCGATGTTGAGACTGTTCGTTCCCTGTGGTTTCCCCATGAGATGTCTACCAGCGGCAGCGTTTACCGCATTCTTCTTCCCGGTATGGGTGACGCGAGGACTGTCCCACTTCCTTTCTCTCGTTCAGGAAGCAATCCACGACGATCCAGCGGGCGTGGTGGTGGGCAGCGAGGATCGGGCCCGAGTCATCGTGGCGGCAAGGGACGGGAGCCTTCGTACTCTGGTGAAGCTAGCAGCTCGACACCTCCCCCCAGCCGGGGAGGCCGCGGTGGCTATCGCGGACGCGGGTCTGAGAACTGGTCCCGCAGGACTACGCCCACGCAGGCAGCCTAAGAGCTGTTCAAATTACAACTTGAAACCCTACACAACTTTGTTGACTTGTTGAGGTTAACATACACTACCAATCGCAGCCGGCAGTATCAACGGCCGACGAACACCGCATAAATATTGTTCCGCATGCTGTTACTGTGGCATGCCCGAACTGCTCCGCCACGAGCGGTAGGCAGTGTGTACCATCTCGAAAAATCGATTATTTTCACAGAGAGCGCTTTGCGTTTTCAGACTTTTACGGACCCTGATTTGATCGAATCGCTTTGGTCGGTCGGTATATGAGCTTGACCGGCCGGGAAATTTGGCCCAGACGGCCAAGACGCGGACAAATGGGGTGGATGGAAGCGAGAGCGAAGTCTTTTTGTGAATTTTATTCTCTTCCACTCTCACGACACACGAGCTCCATCTTCCCACCATTGAACAACACTCTCAACCCAATACGAGAACCCCCTTTTGCTCGGCTACATAGGTCAGAGGGGAAGAACGCTGGTCATGTTGACCAAGGTCCGGTGTTTCTTCGTACGATTCATAACCATGACACGCATAACGAACGGCCGGGAGGTCAAAGGAAGGTTGGCTGGCGGGTGTCCTGGGAGTATCGGAGGGGGCAACGCGGTCTTTTACAAACACCTGATGTGCAAAGGAGGTGAGATTACAGGACTCGGAAATGGATGAGTGTCTTTTTCTTACACAAGCGTTTACTCGGTCACTGCCAGCGGAAGGACAGACAGTAGCTGCTTGAGGGCAGTTGACGTCCGGGGTAATTGCCGTTCAGAAAATACACAAACAAATGATGAAAACTCCCTTTTCACTTGTGCCTCAATTCATGTCGTTTTGATTGTGAAGTTGTGATGATTACTAAGCCCCCGAGCTGCCGCAAAGTACGAGGGTGATTAAGGTGCTCTTCCATGAACTTTGCCAAGGCAGTGAATATCGATTCAGTACCGGTTGACATAAGTTGCAGGGTGAAACCCTTCATCGTCCAAAACAGAGACTCTATTGTGGCCAGTCTCAGACATGAGGTATCTTTGAGAGTCCAGTCTATTGGGAAGAGAAAAAAGAATACTATACAAAGGGGGTATATACTACAAATTACAGTGTACCTCCTGACGCCGAGTAGACGACCCACTCGGACTCGAAGGTTCCGCCGACGACGACGAATGCTCCTCCTCTCCTCCCTCTTCTCCTCCACCACCTCCTGTGTTCGTGCTCATAAACAAAATATCGCGAAGCTTCTTTGCCGAATCACCCGGCCTTTCGTGGCCGTGGTGGTGGTTGTGGTGGTGTTTGGGGCTTCCCAGCCCGACGAGACGGAGGAGTTTGGGGACGAGGTGGCGCCAGACTTGGCGGGTTGAGGGGAGGCATGCGACGATTATGCCGACGGAGAGTTCGATGTAGGACCACATGTGGAGGTAGAAGGCGTCGTCTGTAGCGAGGGAGAAGGGGGTTAGCATCGTGGTAGGTTGGGTGGGATGGGGTAGGTAGGTTGGTCTTGGTGATGGGGAGGTGGGGGGAGCTTACAGGTTGGATCTTGGAAGCCTTCGAGGCTTAGGAGGACTTTTAGACGTATTGCGCTAACGATTGTGATGCTATCGCAAGATGAGGTGTCAGCAACAACACATCCCGGGACATATCACACAAAGGGGGGGGGGGGTCAAACTCACACAACACCCAACGAAAACATGACCACAATCTCCACCTTTTGCCTCTTTCTCAAATTCAACCACAGCACCTGCGTAACAGGCAACCCCAGCATCCACACATCGAGCGCAATATTTATGGCGGCGTGCGCGATGAACATGGCATACACGTTAATACAGTACCCCGGGTGGCGGCCGTCCCAGCCCTCCCAGGCGTTGCTGAAGGGGCGGCACTGGTTCAGGTTCGCGACGGTGAAGGCGAGGCAGAACAGGAAGTTGAAGGTCTGGGTGAGCCAGAGGACGAGGCTGAAGGTGCGGCTGACCATGCTGAAGACGCGGATGTAGAAGAAGAGGATGGAGGCTTTGAGGGCGGAGATGGAGAGGGTGTAGATTACTTCGAAGGCGAAGAAGACCTGCGGGTTTTCCGAGTTGGTTTGTGAGCTTTCTGCGGCATGTTTTGTTGCTGTGGGATATTTGGGGATATGGTTTATGGTGGGATGCGTATCTTACTTGCATGAAGCGGGTTATCTCGTCGTAGGAGAGTGTCCATATATCTCGACCGATGCCTAGTTGATATCCTACTATTCTGTTAGATGAGCCCTTTCACCGGGTTTCTTCTGCACATCGTGAGAATGCCGAAGGGGAGAGGAAGTCTACCTTGAAACTTGGAAATGGCAAAAGAGAGGGAAAATAACTGCCAAAAAAAGAAAAACCTGTTAGCCAACCCACATTACAATCAAAAGTTCGGCAAGAACGTTAAAACCTTACATATCCTAAAAACAACGCGAAGTCGTCCGGCCCCCACGTCGACAGCCTCAGAAACTTGGAGAGCGTCCTCGCCAAAACGAAGACGGTGGTGATGATCACCAGCGAGACTTTGCCGGCTATCGACCCCGACTGGTGGTGATATGGATACCCGCACTTTGTCCATGTTACATTCTTGGCAACTGGGTGGACATCACTGTTAGCTAATGCTACCTAGGCATGGAAGGCCGGGGAGGGGGGGGGGGGTATCTCACGTAAAGACTGCTCCAGGTCACACACCGCACGTATACAGACGCGGAAGGCCTCGACGGCGGGCTTATCCTGGCACAGACATGTTGTCGTCAAGTTGGTAACGGCGCATGTCGTGATGTTGACGGCCTGCGTCAGACACGGAATCTAGAAGCATCAAAGAGGACATCGTCAGCTTCCTGTGATGTCGTGGTATCTTCAAACTCGAACCTCAAAGGCCGGTATCAGAGAAGGGGAGGCAAACTCACGGCACAGTCAGGCAGGCCATCCGCCAATTGCAGCGCCATCGATGGAACAGCTCAGGTAGATTTCGACAGCAGTATCGATCCGGGGGTTTTCCGTTGTACATGAGCAGTCTTTGCAGGCGGGAGGAGAAGGTCGTCGATTCAAGGAGGCATTACGACATATTTCTCGCGTCTATTCTTCCTGATTCTTCACCTCTTGGCTCACTTTTTATTCGATCCTCGCGGCTCATATGGAAAGGGGGAAAGGAGGAAGAGGGGGACTCGGGGACCCGTCTGGGGTCGACCGCCCCGGGGAAATAAACTGAGTTTATGTCTCATGGTTGAAGTGAATCGTTCCCTTGTTTGCGAAATGCTAAGATCAAAGAAAGACTATTTTGCTAACTAACGTGGTGATCGGAGGCCCGGGTCTAGCCTCTCCCAGGTACGGTGGCTTTTATTTCCGTTTGCGGACATCGAGGAAGAGAAACTAGGGAAACAAGCGATTGCGAAATTATACTTTTGAGCCTAGACAAGAGGAAAGTCGCTAATAGAGCCTCAAGCCCGCAAGCTTGATGATATCTGGTTTAGAGGAGAAAAACGAAGCAGTGACGTTGCTGGGATCCCGGTGGTTTGGTAACAGCTGTTGCGGCGAAAGCTGCTGTGCATGCATCCATCATCACCTGTCTTCCCCGTTGGAGGTTGCAAACTTGCAGGGGCGGACGCGGAGTGGGGGACCCGAGGTGTCGGGTTCGTCCGTCGTACATGCGGCCCCCTCCTCCACCGTCCCGGAGTCTTGGCATCTGTTTCTCTTCGTGATTATGGTAAACTTTAGTATTTTGTGATTACTTATAAACAGATCATATAACCTAGGTTGTTTTGAGGGATATGGTGAATGTCTTATCGCGAGAATAACTCCAATGCTAGTGTACTTGTAATGCGAAAGCGATGTATAATCACGTATTGCTGGAGTAATTCGTTTCTCCTCCATCCATAATTCCAAAAACACCATTATCTACTCCGGAGAGAGATGATATGGCCGACAAATTGTTCGCGACCCGTAGCTTGACCATCAAGTCTCCATTGTATACGCACCTGCCGAACTCCATAAATGAGGCAAACCCGCAAATCGACCAAGACTCAACGCACCCATTAGAGACATACCGCAACGAGTTTAACCCCGGCCACCGCCGCCGCCACAGACTACCACAATACCTCATAAACGATGAGACCCGGTCCCAAGCCACACACGCCTCTTCCGACCACATCCCAGCAAGAGAGAGAGAGAGTCTGTCGACATCAAAGGCTAGACCTGGGAAACCCCCCACTCGCGATGACGATATCTCGCACTTTGATGGTCTCCAGTTCTCCGTGCTTCAAGCCTTCCAATCCCAGCCTCCACGAGATCTTTTTAGTGCTTGATTGCCCCCTATCTCGCTGCGCCCTCGGTTACCTGGGGCCGAGCCTAGAATCGTGTTCTCCGAAGACCTTATTTAGAATTGTTTTGTGGCTGGTGAAAAGACGTAGCGAAGCGGGAAAGGCGCTCTCGATGTCATTCACTTAGTCATATCGCAAACCGAAGCCACAATACTGAATCCGCAATACTGCTCAATATTGCTACTGATGCGAGATTTCTAGGTGCCTTGCCAATATATCGAACGCAGTCACAACGGCTGAGGCGGAAAGTCTGCCCACGGGATTATCTCCAGCTCTAGATGTAGGTCCTTGAAGATGAGCTTATGAATATACCGCCCCGGGTCTGGCCTTTTTTGCTATGGAGAACTACTCATTCTCATGTTATCTGGCTTAATTTCTTCCTACCGGTATGAGACGTTTCGACCTGCGCCTTTATCTGTCTATACCTGCCTGTCCTCACTTGGGCGCTTTGTAGAAGTGATCCTTAGATAAATTTAACAGGAACAAATCAGCGAACCACGTTCACCTCCAAGGATCTTCTATGCCTAACCGTGGAATTTACCCTCTGCTTAGTAGACGAACTACCCACATCGCAGATGAAGCAATTGCTGATCACATACTTTGCAAGAAACACCGCTGTTTGATGAGAGTTCTCCCAACGCAGCTCCTTTCATCTCAAGGCTTTCATCGTATTGTTTTTCACTTGGCAACCACCTTAATCCTCTATGTAAAGTCAAGATCATACACCGGAGCCGTCAATCTGCAGCAACCCTCCGTCCGAGGTCTGGTGATTGCGAAATCTGCTGAAGGGACCTGAGAGTTGTTTCTCGTTTGACTTATCGCTGGGTAAATAGTGGTTGATCTAACTCTCAGTGAAGCTAAAAAAAAAAAAAAAAAAAAAAAAACGCCCTCACCACTGTCTCTCGTCCCTCGCCCTTTGCCAGCACCCTGAAATACACCTGAATATGCTAATAACGGCTAGAGCTAAGGATGAGAAGTTACAAATCGGAGGTCCGAGATATATCCCACCAGGCATTGATGCGAAATGATAGCATTGGGCCTATATTGTAGAAGGAACTCTACACGATGAGAGCGGTTGCCACATGAAAGGATATCTGAGATTCAAAACATGTTTGCTTACGACAACTTTCCACACAGCCCCTTTTAGTCCTTCTCATCATGTGAGGTGAATGTTTTTTGGTTTTTCAAATCCCCCTCCCCCTCCCCGGCACGTTTTTTTAAATTATGTAGAGTGCCTACTTATCACACGCAGGGCCATCTAGACTCTCAGAGGATAAAAAGATCAAGTGTTACCAGTTATGCCCATGTGACACGGTAACCACAGAACGAGCACCTCATATCAAAGCAGTATTGGTCAAGCTTGCAACATGAATTTATGTCGTAAGGGATAGAATACTGACTTTTTGTCCTTTTATTTGACGTTATCTACATCCAACGTACTCGAGGACTTCCACTTAACACCATCCTTCATAGCCTTCAACACCGCTCCCAACCTCTTCACACCCTCAATAACATCCTCCTCCGGCTCCCACGAGAAACACAACCGAATCTCCCGATCAAACCTCGCAGCATCCTCGTCCCCATGCACCTCAAACTGCGCACCATGCCCAATCACAAGATTCTCCGTCTCCTTGGCCCTCACAGCAACCTCCCGACTCGACATACCCTCAGGCAAACTAAACCACACAAAGTAACCTCCAAACACCTCAGCCCCCTTCAACGCCGACCCGCGCACAACGACACCGTCGCCCAGCGGGCGTTGGATATACTCCGCAATCGCTTGCATCATAGCCCCATGCCGCCTCGCGAGCGCAGGACGCGTCTCCTCATCCAACTGCCTCTGCAGCTCCCCACTCTCGAGCAGCTCCGCGACCATCATGGCAGCCAACTGGCTCGGCGCACCACCGCTACACGTCGACCCCGTCTGCGACAGCCCGTACGCGAACGCGGGACTGCCCTCCGCCCATCCCGTGCGCACGCCGGGGGCGACAATCTTGCTGAAGGAGCCGTTGGAGACCGCGTTGCCGAAGGAGGCGTCGGGGACGCCTAGGCTGCGGTCGATATCTACGAGGCGGGGGATGCGCATTTCGGGCGTGTAGCCTGGCTGGGGCGGGGTGGAGAGAGGCCATTGGAGGAAGTCGTAGACGTCGTCGGAGACGAGGAGGGCGTCGTGTTTGCGGGCGAGGAGGACGAGCTCGTGGCGGCGGCGGAGGGACATTGTTTTGCCTGTTGGGTTGGAGCAGGTTGGGACCAGGTAGATTATGTGGCGGTAGAGTTTTCTCTTTTTGGCTTCTTTGAAGTGCTGTTGATGGATGTTAGCCTCTCATCACTGGTGCCACATCGTGAGGCTTTTCACGATGAGATGGAGTGAAGGTGGAGTGAAGGTGGGAGACGCTGCTTGTAGCAACACCCCCAACATAAAAAAAGCTCACCTCATCGCCGCCTTCTCCCGCGGCCTCGAGCCCCTTTCTCAAGTACTCGATATCAATACCATCATCATCCTCGGGAACAGCCTTCAGGCGCCCGTCGAACCCAGCGTCAGCAAAGATGGGGCAGGCGAGAAAGTAGCACGGCGCCACCATCCAGACATTCTTCGTATAGAGCGGATCAGTGAAGGACTGCAGAATACACGCCAAATTCTGGCTCGCTCCGCCCGTCACACAAATGCGCCGGACATCGGGCGCGTGGTGGCTGGCGGCGACAGTAGTAGTGGTGGCATCATCCGCTGCTGACGGAGGTGCGGGGTCGACGGCAGGGTAAAATGCCGCCAGCCAGCGGGCGATGGACTCGCGGAGAGGCTGGTATCCCGGGTCCGGACCGTACTGGAGCCCCGGGATGTAGGCGGCGGGGTCGGCGAGGGTCTTTACGGCCGCGGCGGAGAGGGCTGCGGCCGGGAGGAGGGATGGCGAGGGCCAGCCTCGGAGGAGGTTAATTGGCTTCTTGTGCAAGGGGGCGTTCATGCTTGATGATGAGAGAGAATTTGCCGAGGTGAAGAAGGCTCGTCGAGGTGCCGAGTGTGGATCAGAATTCAATGGCAGCTTGCGAGTGTGTGCACTGGTCGCGCAAGTTGATGAGATGCGGGTGTGGTGTGTGAGGGGTCGGTGGTGGTGAGGTAATTGAGCAAAGTATTTTGATACAGTTGTCACGCGATGCTTCATCACCTCCGCTCGGGTTTGTGGTTCACTGATGAAATTTAACGACGACCTTGATTGACTGCAAAGTATTGATTACTTATAGTTGTATGTCAGAGTGAAGTTCAAGGTTGTCGCCTCCGAATGCGGAGGCCCCAAAGATAGGAAATGCGCTGGCCCCACGCAGCATTTCGCAATTATGGCGGCACATCAAGGAACCGGTAAGGTCAACAAATATTCTTGGGCACGAAGACTCATTGGTCTGACTGAAACTTTGTTCTTTCCTAGGTAGTGGTAAAATGTAGGGGTATCATATGCTCCAAAATCAATGTCTTTTCAAACGCCTCGTCATTGACACCAGTCTAAGGGAAACCCCCTTTTTACCAACCCCATGTTCTCGTAGAAGCCGTAAATACTGGTGGCTTCCACTGGATCTTGCTCGGGTCAATCAACCTCTTCTGCTTCACCTTCTGCTTCTCCCTCTGCTGAATCAGCTTCTCGGGAATCACAATCTTGTGCTCTCCCTTGTGATACACCTGCATCTTAAGCGCCTGTAAGGTGTGCTCCACGTCCTGCGGAATTATGGCAAGAGCCGTCGAGATGGCTTCAATCGTAGTCTTCTCATCGCGCTCATTGTAACCCACAATGAGATCCAAGATGTTTTCACCCCAGTATTGCCGATAACT